ATTGAAAATACTGGAAAATGATCAGATATAAATGAGTCCTGTATATTTTTCTTCCTGTATCGTATTTGTAAATATGTTATCTATCAAGGTTGCTTTATTTTCAGTAATGCGAGTTGGCTTTGTTATTAAGGGAAGTAAATTAAAAGAAAGAATCATATCTAAAAAGTCATTTGTTTTATTATGGATACCATAGTTAACCCTAAAAAGGCCGGGCTATTTGAGGTCTTAGTACGGCCGGGGGGGGGGGCATTATGGCCCCCTTAAGATCTCGGCCGTGAAGCGGCCGATCTCCGCGGAAATGCGCACGCTTGTCAAGTGAAGTGTATAGAATAATATGATAATTTCAATTTTTTTTTAAATTCACTTATTTGTATATTTATGGTAATTTATGCAAATTAAATCATAAATCACATTTTTGCCCATAAATCAAATTTTATTCATATTTGAGCATTCTTTTTCACTTCATATCTTTATTAGACCTATTGGAATAAAATACGACAAAAAAATTCGAAAGAGCTAGCTTATTCCTTATGTTTTCTCTTGTTTTTTAACGTATGTACTTTATTGTTTTTGTTGTTTTATTTCATTTCTTACTACAATTCAACTATTTTGACTCCAAAAACAACCACCTAAACTTTAAACAAGACCCAATAACCAACTTTTAGGAAAAATGACATTTCCATATGTTTTGTACACAAATCACAAAAATGAGCGATTTTCGGGCTGACATGCAAAGCCAAAAGGTCACGTGACCTTGTAACTGTTGGTCCGATTTTCATTTTTTTGTTGAAAGATGCGCAAGACTCGAAAGAAAAAAGTCAGCGAACGGCGGGGCGCCATCCATATGCGTTCCCGAGCAATCGGAAAAATCGTGGAGGGGTGGGGGCATTATGCCCCCCCCCCCCCGGCCTTATTAGGGTTAAGCAAGTTTACGTTAAAGTCCCCTAAAATATATAAGTCTTTCTTCTCACTTTCCAGTATTTCAAGAACACTTTGTATTTTCTAATTAAAACAAGATATGTCGGAATCTGGTGGACGATAAACGCAACGAACAACTATAGGTTTAGCTTTCTTACTGATTTCAACAAGTATAGTTTCATAATTGCATTCAGAATAAGTAAATTCGGGTCGTAATTTGTAATTGAGATTATTTTTCAAATAAAGTGCAACTCCTCCACCAGATTTTGAGGGTCTACACTTAGAAACAAGAAAATATCCGTCTAGGTTATGCATATTAATATTTGTAGAAGAATTGAACCAAGTTTCAGTTATTGCAATGGCATCAAATTCAAACTGAAGAGATCACAGAACAATCTGTAATTCATCAAAAAAATTCTTTAGGCTTATAGCATTCAAATAGAGAAGTGACAGTTTAGAAATAAATTTACTAAATTTTAGACTAAATTCTTCACAAAATGTGTATTGACATGAATTTTTAAGTTCAAGATCTGAATCTAAAAGGCTATGCACATCATATTTATTCATACAAAATGGGTTTAATTTCAATCTTAATAACTTGTCAATATTAATTCTCCTATTTAAACGGAAAAAGTCATACATAGTCCAATAAAATTCATTATTATCATCTATATGGTTGAATGGAAAAATATTAGAAGTACATTGAGTGCATAACCATGACTGAGTTGGAAAGAAGGAAGAAGAGATACCACAATGAACACATACACTCATTCCCACATTAACAAATTAACTTTCAGTAAGTAGGTAATAAAACGTAAATACAGTAAAAATAACAAAGATAATTACAAAAAGATCTGTAATTAATCAAAGTGGCATAGGCATAAAATATGAAAAATATCATATTTGCATGTAGTCAGTTCAATGTTTTTCAGTTTTCACAAGTTTGCAAGTTTACTCACGGAATGTAATATCTTTCTTGTCGTCTTCCCATTGGTAGCTTTGGCCAATACAATTACCCTTCCATCTGATGACCATGCGGCATTCAGCCTATCATTCAGTTCCACCTCCTTTTCGCTTCCTTCAACAAAAGTCGATTTGCTGCTGTCAGGTCCTCCTCAACCCCCTTTCTTTTTCCTTTCAGCAGTTTGCGATTCCTGATCATGACATTGCGGGCGAGATAAGAGGTGAATTTTACTATAATGGGTCTTGGAGGGAGTGACTTGCTGTTTTTTCCTCTCGTAGGTTGATGCGGAAGACCTACTCTATGCGAACGATCGATGTCCACAGATAGTAATATTTCTTAGTATATCACGAAATCTAAGTGGAGTAACTTGTGGTACAAGTGGTAGTTCTGGACTTTTCATAAACGTTTACGTTCTTAACAGTGATGATTATGAATATACATCATTCAGATAAAACAATCGAAAGTTGCAATGATATGTGAGTTATAATTTTAAAAAAATGGAAATAAAAGTCAATAAGAACAAATAATTTCCTCTTATTACAGATGGTGAAGTACGTCTTGTGGGAGGCACCTCGGATTCTGAAGGCCGTGTAGAGGTCAGATACAACGGAGGATGGGGAACTGTTTGTGATGATGGTTGGGATACACACGATGCCAGCGTGGTCTGTCGATCTCTCGGTTTTGCTGGTGCTCTTGAAGCTGTATCAAGGGCTGGATTCGGCCAAGGCACTGGAACCATCGTCCTTGATGGCGTCAATTGCTCTGGAAACGAATCGAGTCTCTTTGAGTGCTCAAATCTAGATCTTGGAGACAATTACTGTGGCCATTATGAAGATGCTGGAGTTCGTTGTCTAGTGTTTGGAGGTATGTTTAAGTGAGTTATTGTTAATAAAGTCATTTTGGTCGGTTCCGTAAAGTAGAACTTCGAATGTGATTTCTGTGTTCTATATGTCATGTTGAGTATCATGATAGTGATAATTCTTAGTTCATCGAGAAATCTGAGAGGAGCTACTTGTGGGGTCGATTTTATCAGAAAAAAAGATGTTCCCAATAAAAAAACTAATTTGGACATTGTTTTTTGCCCCTTATTTGAAGATATGTAAAAATATCAGTTTTTCGTATATTCTACAGGCTTTTTTAGGGTTTGTGAATTATGTGCTTACATTTTTCCCAGTTTCTCAGCAGATATTAATATTATCTCCACCAAATTAAAAAACATTTTTTGTAAAGCATACAACAATAGGTTTACAAAGTTATATTAATTTATTTTATTGTCTTCAATTATTAGTGACGTCATAAATTTGCATATATTTTGATATGCAATTGTTTGTTTAAAAACCTGTCAAAATCACTTGAAAGTTGTATTTTGTCTGCTATTATCATGAAATAAGTTTTCCAACCCCCTAATTTGGTATAAAATTATTCATTGATATGTTATCTGACGTTTCCCGCAAAAAGAAATCAGTATCAGTCAACTCGTATGCGCACCCACCCCCCCCCCCCCCCCCCCCCGCGCATATTACGATTAATACATATAATGGGTCTTGGTGGGAGTGACTTGCTGTTTTTTCCTCTCGTAGGTTGATGCGGAAGACCTACTCTATGCGAATGATCGATGTCCACAGATAGTTATATTTCTTAGTATATCACGAAATCTAAGTGGAGTAACTTGTGGTACAAGTGGTAGTTCTGGACTTTTCATAAACGTGTACGTTCTTAACAGTGATGATTATAAATATACATCATTCAGATAAAACAATCGAAAGTTGCAATGATATGTGAGTTATAATTTTAAAAATAGGAAATGAAAGTCAATGAGAACAAATGATTTCCTCTTGTTACAGATGGTGAGGTACGTCTTGTGGGAGGCACCTCGGATTCTGAAGGCCGTGTAGAGATCAGCTACAACGGAGAGTGGGGAACTGTTTGTGATGATGGGTGGGATACAAACGATGCCAGCGTGGTCTGTCGATCTCTCGGTTTTGCTGGTTCTCTTGAAGCTGTATCATCGGCTGGATTCGGCCAAGGCACTGGAACCATCGTCCTTTATGGCGTCAGTTGCTCTGGAAACGAATCGAGTCTCTTTGAGTGCTCGCATCGAGGACTTGGAGACAATAACTGTGGCCATTATGAAGATGCTGGAGTTCGTTGTCTAGTGTTTGGAGGTATGTTTAAGTGAGTTATTGTTAATAAAGTCATTTGGTCGGTTCCGTAAAGTAGAACTTCGAATGTGATTTCTGTGTTCTATATGACATGTTGAGTATCATGATAGTGATAATTCTTAGTTCATCGAGAAATCTGAGTGGAGCAACTTGTAGGGTCCATTTTATCAGAAAAAAGATGTTCCCAATAAAAAAACTAATTTGGACATTGTTTTTTGCCCCTCATTTGGAGATATGTAAAAATATCAGTTTTTCGTGTATTCTACAGGCTTTCTTAGGGTTTGTGAATTATGTGCTTACATTTTTCCCAGTTTCTCAGCAGATATTAATATTATCTCCACCAAATTAAAAAAAAATGTTTGTAAAGCATACAACAATAGGTATACAAAGTTATATTAATTTATTTTATTGTCTTCAATTATTAGTGACGTCATAAATTTGCATATATTTTGATATGCAATTGTTTGTTTTAAAACCTGTCAAAATTTACTTGAAAGTTGTATTTTTTTTTTACGCGGACATGCAACCAAAGTTAATATTTTACGATGAACAGGGGAATGTGACTAAAAACGAAATTAGAGCAACTAACGGCTTAATGATTGACCATCATTGCGCTGATAAATATCGACCACTCTCTTGTACCAAGATCAATTTCTAAATTGCTGCTTTAAATCCTGTTCTAGTTCGATGATCCAAAATAAAACAATGGATCTATTTATTTTCATTTAAAAAGATATTGGTGGTCAAACGTTGACATTGATTTCCTTTCTTTCAAGAAACATACTGTGTACGTACTGATTTTATTTTGCTATATGAGAACATCCCCGATATCCCTGTGATTCCTTTTCAGTACGGCTCGTAGGAGTTCATTGTGAATCAGAAGGTAGAGTCGAGGTTTATCAGCACGGTTCATGGGGACCCGTATGTGATGACAACTTCACGGTAGCGGGCGCAACCATTGTTTGCCAAATGCTCGGGTTACAAGTGGTGGAACTCTTAGACTGGGACGTCCCACCATCTGCAGTGTCCTCGATTAATGCTACGTTGAAGAATCCCTGGTGTAGCGGGAATGAGACAGATATCCGATATTGCATGCAAGAACCAAACGCAACTTGCAATAAATACGCAGCAGTCAAATGCAGCGGTGAGATATAATTCTTAATACAGGATTGCTCTTTTTTTACAAGGGGGAGTAGGGGGGGGGGGGGCTGGACGGGTTATGGGGACGAGATGATTTTTTATTTAATTTGAGCCAATGGCGTGCCATAATGTATGGTTACATTGAACACTTGGTACATGGTGTAGCTCTGTGAGACCATGTATTATGCCTAAGAACGCCATATAAACGGAATTTTGATCTATCATCGCAGAAGATCCTTTTCAAAATGATATGTTATATTAGTTTTACTGTAAATACTGCGAGCAGTGTACCTCCAAACGGAGTTGAAGTGAAATATGCATGAAAATTTATAGAAAGAGATAAGAACACCTGATGTGTCTCATGCAGGTGTACACAAGATACCATTATTGTTTTTAAATTACTAATCCTTGTATCATTACATTGTTGATGTTATATACCGTATGTTCTAATATAACGGCTCAGTAGCATTCCTGTTATAAAAGATATTTTGAAAAGGACGATTATTTGTTCTGAATATCCAGGTAATTTCTTTTGATACCTTCTCATTCCAACAGATCCCCTAATTCTTTGTGTCGGGTCGATTGGTGAGTATTTTGATGAAGACTGTCAATACATTTTGGGTCAATTTCAGTTCAACGGAATAATTGAGAATGACATGGCTTAGGTCAATATGATCAATCCGATATAATCAAAATTGTGGAAGAATATACGCAGCGATTCCTGAAATTCCCCCAAATCGATTAGAATTCTCAAAATTTACCACACTCTATCTTGTCTCCTCTTCGCTGATCTACACCGGTCATTTCCCTTACTAACTATGACAATGAAGCCTTTTTAAAGTAGATGTATCGGGTTCGAATGGATAAAACATTGGACTGTGGATCTTATGGTTTTTTTCGAATCCCGCCGCGGCACTAGTCTCCTTTGGAAAGATATTTCTCCAAATGTTTAACACCCGACCCAGGTGAGGTAAATGGGTACCCTACAGGAATTAATTCCCTGAAATGCTAGACCGCCTTAATGGATTTCTCTTTCTACGTGCCATATCCTGAGACGTTGTCGACCATGGAGTACCACAACTCTCTGTCCTTTATTCTATGAAGTAAGTCATTCTCCCCGAAATCAATTCCACTTTCAGAAATCCCACTCCTTAAGCTACTCATTCACAGAAAGCTCCTTCTACCACTACTCCTCCTCCCATCGATTCTTCCAGTCAGTGCAAGATTTTCCAAACCATTCTTCCGTATAACATGACTCCAGAAGCTCAGCTGTCGACCTCTAATAATATTCAGAAGCTTTGGTATCGTTCCTGGCATGGCAAATACCTCATTATTAGAAACTCTTTCTGTCCATGAAATTTTTAGCATCCTTCTCAGGATTCAAACTTTACAACTTTTCAGTCGCTTTCTTAGGTCAGTTGTCAGGATCCGAGCTTCACTTCCATACATCAGAACTGGATACATATATTAATTGAGTACGCGGAGTCTCGTTTTCATCGTCAGCTTCTTATTCTTTAAGATGTTTTCTAACATGGAGAAAGTTGATTTTGCAAGTGCAATCCTTCTCTTGATTTCTTGCTTGCATCTTGCATCGTCTGTAATTGTAGTCACTTTATTTGATTGATGTTGATCTTAAGAGAGCATGGTATTCTTCCCTTCTTTGAACTTACCATGCATCCCGTTTTCTTGTAATTTGATGATAATCCTCTCTTGTCACTTTCTCTGACAACAACATCCAAAATTCGCTGCAGGTCCTTAGCTGATTCTGCGATTAATATCTGCATACAGTATGTTTGTGATATTATGTCCTCCTAAATTGAATCACTTTCCTGTTCTAGGTGTTTAAGTATCAACTCACTGTAATAATTGAAGAGATCTGGAGACATGAAACATCCTTGCCGAACCCCCTCTTAATGTAGATGTAGTCACTTAATTATGTTTCCACTCTAACACGTGCTGTTTACTCCCGATACAGGTTTTGCAATAACTTTACATCCTTTGTGTCTAGTCCACTCTTGGTTAAGTCTTCAAATAACTGATTGTGTCTTACTTTACCAAATGCTTTTGTATAATCGATGAAACACAGGAAGACGTCTTTCTGCATTTCTACGGCCCTTTCTGCTAAAGATTGCAGAACAAAAACAGCATTTCTAGTTCCAGCATCCTTGACAGTTTGACAGATATGAGTTCTATACACGAACCCATTATTATTATTATCATTAATCATGAAAAAGAAGTAGGACGAAGTTTGTGATGATAAAGAAAGTCCAAGTTTGTAAAAGTGCACGAATATGAACAATATGATTAAAAACTGTATTAATTCAGACCAAAATAACCTTATACTTAAATATTGAATTAGTATTCGTCTGTTTATTTACTCAATATTGAATAAGTGTTTGTTTTTTTCTCTCTGGAACGGTTGTTATAATATCTGAAGACTTGCCTTTTAACCTTTCTTCTTTTCTTTGTTTTAGCGGACGGATACAGCGATGACTCTTCATTCCACCTGTCCAGTGACGTTGAACCAACAACGAGGGAACCGCTGCAGAAAATATATACTCAAACGATGACGACAGGTACGTCAACAACAGTGTCACGTAGACAGCCCTGCTAAAGCCGGGTTAATAATTGTAAAGTATGGGAACTTAAAGTTTAACAGAAATGAGTTATACACGAGCCCATTACTATTATTATCATTATTATTAATCATGAATAAGAAGTAAGTTAAAGTTTGCGATGTCTTAGAAAGTCCACGTTTGTAAAAGTGCAAGGATAGATCGATATGATAAAAACTGTAATATTCCAACCCAAAATAATATTGTACTTCAATATTGAATAAGTGTTCGTTTGTTTTTGTAATTGAATATTGAATAAGTGTTTGTTTGTTTTTGTACTTGAATATTGAATAAGTGTTTGTTTGTTTTTGTACTTAATATTGAATAACTGTTCGTTTTTTTTCTCTCGGGAATGGTTGTTACTGTAGTGACTTGACCTTAGGAGAACTTTGCATTAGTAGATATTATTGTCTTGTCTCTATTGTGTGGCTTGAAGTCTAGCCTGTTATTCCATTGTCACTTATTTCTTTTTAGACACCTGTTACATTACTAGAGTGCCACACATACTTTTTCTGGCAAGCACATTCCAGACCCTATGTATTGGGATGTGCAGCCACCTAATGTACTGGTAAAGCTTATACAGGCACATTACACTTGCTTGCCACACCTATTTCCATCACTTCTCCTGAGCTGTTCATATAGAGCACACGTATTCTAGAGAGTCTTGAGTCGATCTACAGCAAAGCTAATTCAGCTTCATCTTAATTTTTGTCCTATTTCTTCGCCTGTTTCTCTACTCGGTTCTGAGACCTTATTACTTTATAGAGATTATAAGTTTCTTCTTCCTTACTTAATTCGCAAAGAAGCGTCATTACTTTGTACATGGTCTTACATATTCTTTCTTCGGGTGCTGTGCAATATTTGAACTACTACCTGTGATATAATGAGCGCCTTGAGCAATCTTTAAGAATGGATATATGCGCTTTATAAATTGACATCAGTATTATTATTAGTATTAGTATTAATATATGTTCCAAGTATCTGTACTCAACAGGTGTTTCTACGAGACAAGGTAGGAAAAAAATCATTTTCTATTTCTTTTATTTAGGTGATTAATTCCCTAAACTGGTGACCCCGACGTGATCCAGATTTTTGTTTCTTCTGTTGATCTAATCTACCTTAATTGTCATCGTCATTATCATGCCTGATACCGATAGCAATGTATCACCTAGTGAGGCTTCTGAGCCATCCCCCCCAAGTCTCATATGTTAGCTTAAAGCTTCCACCATTTTGAGCACATGATCATGATATTTGGTTTGCTCAAGTTGAGGCTCAGTTTCAAACAAGAGGAGTCTCGGTTGAGTCTACAAAGTTTGCTTATGTTGTCGCCTCGTTACAACCAGAGGTAGCTCTAGAGGTGTGCGATATTTTAATTGCCCCTCCCCAAACAGAGTCGTACAAGATACTTAAAGCAGCACTGGTTAAGCGAACTTCTGTCTCTGAGCAAAAGCGACTAAACAAATTGCTGACGAGTGAAGAGTTAGGGGATAGGTCGCCCTCCCAACTCCTTAGGAGAATGCAACAATTATTAGGCTCTAATACTTTGGAGACTCGTATACTGAAGCAATTTTTTGCAACGCCTGTCAATCAATGTGCAGTTGATTCTAGCTTCGACAAGCGATGATGTTAGCCTGGTTGAGCTGGCGGCATTAGCAGACAAAATTGTTAAAGTTGCTGGTCCGCCTACTGTTTCCCAAGTCTTACCTAGAGAGGTGATAGCGCAGACTTACGCTTGCGCCACTCCCAATGACTCTGGAGAAGTACATCGACTTTCTACCCAGGTAGCTCAACTGGCTGCTCAGGTGCAAGCCTTGACTTGTTCTCTACAGGAGGACCGCATAAGTCGCAGTCGACAGCGAGGCCCGAAGAATACTGGCCATCGCCAATCAGCTTCCCGTAGCCCGAGTCGGCATCAGCAACATGCTGGGGCTGAATGTTGGTACCACTGGAAGCAGGGCAAACAAGCCCAGAAATGCATAAGTCCTTGCTCATACTCGGCAGGACGGAGCCGCCCTGGATATGTCCAGGGAAACGGGCCCGCCAAGGAATAGCGGCGACTTATGCACTTTGCACCATTCAACCCAGTCGCCTTTTCTTTGTTCACGATAAACAATTAGGCACACGTTTCCTTGTTGTTACTGGGGCCGAAGTTAGTATTTTCCCTCAATCCATGATAGGAAAATCGGCGATGGTAAGTGCAACAAATTTTCAACTTCAAGCTGTTAACAAGTCACCCATTAAAGGTACTATGCCCCTTTTGCAGCCGACCTCAAATTCTGTAGAACTTTGCAGGAATTAGAATATGTCATGTATGTCCTATCTGTGAAATTTAAACGTAAGCAGTGTCCTCATATTCAAATTATGCAAGGAAATCCGTTTACTTGCTAGACTTCACTGTCAGACACTATTGAGTGACTGACTGGCTTTTTCTTCTTTGGTAATAACATACATGGAAAGAATTGTAAAGGGTACATGAGCATTTGTCTACATCAATAACCCACTTCTTGTGATGGCCAAAATTAAACTGATTGAATCTTTGCGCAGCATAAAACGTATGACCATGCGGTACAATTCGTCGCTGTTTTCACGAAGTGACGGTAGTGAACAAAAATTGCATTCACTTTGCGTGACGATTTTCCTCACTACCGTCACTTCGTGAAAATAAGGAAGAATTGTCTGAAAATCAAGACTATTACTTTTGGGCTCTATAGCCCTAAAGTCGATTTGACAACTAATAGTCGTTATTTTCCCACTTGAAGACATTTTTCAAGCCCCACTTTTTTTAGGGAAGTTCTAAATTAGTATTATCTTTCAAATGCAGTTGGAATTTAACTTTTTCATTTTTTTGGCTTGCAAATGGGACAAAGTACCTCTAAGACTTTTTGGCCAAAGATCTTTCACTCTTGATCTTGGGTTGCGGCGAGTCGGTTGAGTCGGTACATACACAGCCATCATTAGCCCGGTGTATGTCAAGCAAGATACTTCGGACCGTTTCCACTCCCTTCTTCGCGAGTATCCTGACATCACCCGGCCAGTATACAAGCACTCAGAAGTCAAGCATACAACCACCCACCATATCCAAACTCTACCTGCTTCAGCCCGCCCTCGTCGGCTTGCTCCGGATCGGCAGCAGATTGCCAAGGCAGAGTTTGAACGCATGCTTGAACTCGGCATTATCAGACAATCTGATAGCAACTGGTCAAGTCCCTTGCACATGGTTCCGAAGAAGACACCAGGAGACTGGCGACCTTGTGGAGATTATCGCATGCTTAATGCTCGTACTATTCCTGATAGATACCATATTCCTCATTTGCAGGATTTTTCTGCGTCACTTAGTGGCAAGACAATCTTTTCAAAGATTGATCTCATCAGGGCATATGATCAGATCCCAGTCGAGCCTAGCGATATCCCCAAGACAGCTATAACCACTCCATTTGGATTATTTGAGTTTGTAAGGATGCCGTTTGGCCTCCGCAATGCAGCTAAGACCTTCCAAAGATTGATGGATAATGTCACTCGCGGTTTTCCTTTCGTATATGTTTATCTAGACGATATTCTGGTAGCTAGTACTACCAAATACGAACACGAGACACATCTCCGCCTACCCTTTGACCGCCTGCAAGAGTATGGAATCATTCTCAACCCCGCCAAGTGTCAGTTCGGATCACCTTTACTGCCCCCCCCCCCCACTCAGTGTTATTTAGGGTACGCATATGCTTGTTCCCTCTTTTTGAAAGCACCCCCTATCTGAGGACTGCCAACATTTCCGAACCCCCCTTTCGCGGGGTTTTCGCGGGGTTTTGCTGCCTTAGAGACCCCCCTAAATCAAGAAAAATGCTCAATGTACCCCCCTAAATTCGGAATAATTTCTCAGGAGTCCAAAGAGATGAGAGAAGAAAAAATTATCATCCCCTTTTTAAAGAAATCTCCGGGTGAAAAGTCAAATACACCCCTTTTTTTTACAATTCTCGGGCCGGACTTTGTGGCACAAAAAGTACCCCTTTACCGGACATTTTGGTAACACACATGCGGTTATTCCGACCCCGGAGTGGGGGGGGGGGGGGCGGGCTTTACTGTCTTTTCTATGGCATAAAGTTGACTCGGAAGATCAAAAGTGAAAGCTCACATGGTCATGAAAGTTAAAAATCCCAGAAAATTTCTTATGAGTGTGATAACTTTTTGAAATTCATCAGATGTCACCTAAACTATTGTCAATATATATTATACAAGCATAAAGGCAGAGGCATATTAGAGACGCAGTCGCATACACTTTCGTCATGTTATATTGTAAAACAGTATCTGAGGAACTAACACTTCAACAATCTCTGCTTCTAGTTGGTTCCTCTTTTCTCGTGCTTTTTCTATTATATTTGTCGCTTCATTGCATATTTTTGTAATAAAATTATTCATTGTATGATGTTTTGCATGAGAAGTAAAAAAAAATCATTTCATTTCATTATAGTTTTCGCAAATAAAATTGTTATACTTTGTGGAACACGCAAATCAAGATTTACCATGGCCAAATAATATATGATAGGCCTATAATCGACTGAATTTTTTCTTCTCCTGGACACGCTTTTGATATGTGCATCTCATGCTTATTAATATTTGTGATCGATTGCCCACTATACAGCTACAACCCTGTCACCAATCAAAGGAGCTTTAGATAAAATATTGAATGTAAGTACATACATAATGTAAGTTGCGGATAAATCTACTGTGAGAAAAATGACTGGGCCTAATGCGTTTTCGAATCAGGGAATGTAATTTTATAATTTATATTTTAAAACTTCGACCAATCAACAACCACAAGGTACGCTATGTAAACACTATTAGATCTCTTTTTAACCACATCGGACTATCTGATTGCTATTATACCATTTACGATAGTCTACAATTTATGTCCTGGCTATACCCTGAATAAATGGTTTTCATTGACAAAAAATTACTCTTAAGGTTATCTTTCCCCAAAAAATTATTTCCTTTAAACTGACGAATTAAATATAAACATTATGTACATTCATTTCCTCTTTTTGTTTAAACACACTGCTCCTCGTTGTCATCGTTGACCATGATCAATGTACTTTAAATGCTGTAAATCTGTAGATGTCAACCTTTCGATATTTTTTATCTCCAGGATACTATCACGGAAGACAATTTAAATACCGTCTCAGATGAACTGGCGAACGTGACTGAGGATTCGAACAAATTTGATGTGGAAGATCTCCAGTCTGTCACAGACAAACTAAGTTCAATTGTTGAATTTGCGTCAAACCAAAACCTGACGGAAAAAGCCATCGCACAGGTAAACATACCTTTTAACAGTGAGTATCCATCAATTAAAACAAAGAACGGACAGCAAACGAACATAAATAGGAATGTAATCAGGCAGGAGTGCCTGCTTTGAGACGATACATGTCGTATTAAGTTTTGTTTAGCGGTTAACGATGCGGGAGGGGGTGGGGGACTAAGCCAGGTTTGTTCTATTTCCTGCCACGTTTGACTGGGCACCAGGGTCTTTAAAAAGTGTCTCCTTGTACCAAGTTTGGGATGACGGAATGAATGCGGGTCAAGCCTTATGCATGTCTTAAATCCTATCAAAATTTAAATTCAGCTTCGTGTTTCAGCGTTTAAGTGTCTAAACTGTAACACCTTACGTACGCTTTCAAAGGACATGGTTTCAAACCGGAGGATAACCATAGATTATTCGTAAATGGCCTAGACATACTAATTTCTTATGTCCTGATATTGACAATCTCTTTGCTCAATCGTTTATTGCTCAATTTATCATGCATAATGTATTTGTCTCGAACAGCACATAAATCACAAAAGTTTCCTTACCTCAAAGATGTTAGTAAATGCAAAGTAGAAAACATAATGTTGATAACAACCAGAGAAATTGGCTGTGGACTTTGACTAAAAAGGTAACATCCCAAATATACTTTGTCCATTTTGAATGACTTTGTAAAATGGCTCACTTCAAACAAGGGTTGCGAATAAAGCTCAGTTGCGTCATCATAACAAATAAAATATCATGAACTTTGCTCATAATAAGTCATTATTAGAGATTGATTTGACATTACACACAACCTATTCATATTCACTAAACAAATGTCAATAAGGTCTGCAATTGTTATCAAATTGAAATAGATGCATAATAATAATATTAATAATAATAGTGGCTACTTGTATAGCGCACAGGTCTACCTTTCGGTGCTCATGGCTTTTGACCCTATTTTGTTGCTTACGCCCAAACTTGGTACGAAAAGATTTTGCTAATACTTTTAGACAAGGCCGTTGCTCAGTCATCCGTGGTAGCATGGTTATGAATATAATAAATGTTAAAAAATGAGAGTGTCATTTTAATCGATGTCTACAAAATATCATTAATAAAGGTGTCTGTGAGTGTGATAGGAGCGGTGGATAATATCTTGAACATCCCAGAGAGTACCTTCGAGACAGCGAGCTCCCAGCAGGTCTCAAAGACAAATAACATATTGACTACAATCTCGATACTTACTGAAAATATTCAAAAGGCATCCACCAAGAACTTCACCTACAGGTTTGTATGAACCATAGTGCCATTATTAGTTCTAAAAGTCATGGGCACAATACATTCGAATCATGTAGGTGCCCCATCTCAAATACCAATAAATTGGGGACATACGTAACGTTTTACTCGGTCTTAAGATATCGCCAAGAGTATCAAAAATCTTACTAAATTTTGATGACACTGATGATTCCAAAGGCAATTTAAAATTATTAGCGGTGAAAACGGGTGCTTGTGTCTTGTTCGTGCACTAGAAGGGTAATGCTATTGGCGTTTTGGGGGAAAGTCCGTATATCCTGACATCTTTAATACAACAATGGCCCTTTTTTTAAGGGTCAGGTGAAATTCTTTTTTTTTTCCAAAGACTATTAACAAATTGAGATCTTGACTTACGTGCGGAGGATCCGCTTTATACGAATTGTAACAATATTCTATTATTGTTCTTTAGACAAAAGTATCTACATGAACATCATTTTAAACTTTATTTCTGTGTAGTGGATCAAATATTGTACTGGCAGCTGTCAAAGTAGACAGGAAAAAATTTCCCCTCACGACGGCGATAGGAGGAGCCATGGATGATGTCATAGACTTTTCAGCCAATGAAGGATCTCCGTCTAATGCGGCAGGTGTAACGTCAGTATCTCTGCCGGAAGCAATTCTCCCTTCAGAATCTAGTAGGTTCCCCTCATCCAAAAGTATTGACTTTTATGTATAAAATACAGTAATGATAAATTGCAATTGTAAAGTAAATTCGGACCAATGCAAACATGCAAAATAATTTATGATAAGAACCAATGCAGCAAAGGGAATGCAAGGTAATGCAGGTACCGATCAAACTAAATTTCGATCCCAAAGTGTGAAAATTATATTTATATGATAATCACGAGTGACAAGTCGGTCTAAGACAAACGGCCCCATATTAACTTGCATCATGTATCATGAAATAACATGATTTTTGTTAATCATTCCAGGTACTAACCAGGTAATATCCGTCAGCGTCTTTCTTCTAAACTCGCCCAAGCTGTTCCAGGGTAACAGACCGTCCTCATCCAGTACTCCATCGTCTGGAGACAAGCAGAATCAGCAACCGAAGACGGAGTCGGTTGTCGCTTCTCCTATCTTAACTGTGACCATTGAGGGAACTGATATCAAAGACCTCCCTGATAATGAATCAATTGTCTTTGTGTTTCCTGTGAACCAGGTAGGCCTATGGTGTCACGACATACATTCCTGAAGAAAGTAATAGAGAGGATGCACACAAATAATCATATAATATACGTTTCTAATTTTGAGATACAGAAGGTTAAAGGATGGAATCTACAAACACTATTAACCCATTGTTTACTGGAACCTGGTGGTCCCTGTGTTAAGTCTATGGGAATTAGAGAATTCAGTAGTCAACAGGTTAAGAGAAGACAGATTGATGCACTTCCGAGGTCAAAATATTCAATCTCCATGCCAATATTTTATATGTTACTCTCATTGCAAACTGAATAAATGAAATATTAAGATAAGTACCAACAAAAGCATAATCATTCCTAGAAAATTCTTTGCAAAAATTAATCCTTTTTTTGGTTAAATATCAACCTTTAACTCAGACATTGATTAGAGAAGAAAATGATGCTGAGGTGTCTGAACGTTGTGTGTATTGGGACATCGACTTGGGAGAATGGTCGGACGAAGGGTGTAGAACCGAGAAAACGGCTCTTGAAGGTATGGTGTCTTGCCGGTGCTCTCATCTCACGAGTTTCGCCGTTCTACTGGTATGCCAACGCTGAATCAATAATTCTAATTCCAAATAGCATGGTAAAAGTTTCATAAATCAGCAGCATTCTCTTGAATATATCCTAATCTATTTCAACATATTTATTACATGTTATATATATATATATATATATATATATATATATATATATATATACAAATATAGTTTTAAAAAACACCCATGCATTAGAGTTATTCATTTTAACATGGCCAGTGGAAAATGTGGCAATGAATTTAACGGTTCGGGTGAACCATCGAATGGAGAAGATGAAAAGCGATATATTGCGAAAAGATTATCGAATAGTTTCATCCTCTCGTTTTAATGGTCTACCAGTTACACTTTATACATACCTTTTCGACGTTTATTTGGGGAAAAAACACTCTGGGCCGGTAGAATTGTGTCCGTTTCTAGATTACACTAATACAATATGTATTTTGTTATGTTTATTCTTCATAGGATATCAAAGGAAGCATCATATCTAAAGCTCTTGATGTAATCAGTCGCATCGGTTGTATAGCTTCGATTGTTTGTCTCGTCATAACCCTCTGCATTCTGCTAGGTTTTAGGTGAGATTTCAAAACTCCCTACCCTCATCAAACAGTACAATGCATGTTTTGAACATGGGGGCTATCAGAGGAACAGAAATATAATATAAAGAGATATCTAAAGATCACAGACAGAGAATAATTGCTACCATGTTACAGAACATTCGACGCCCTATTAATCTGAAAAGAGTCGTTGTATTTTGATGCTTCTAAATAACTGACAAAATTTCCAGAAGATGTCGTATTCGATTTTTCTGTAAAAATTAGAAACATGATATTCCAAAGAAGCCACAGTTGATACATGTTGTAACGTTGAGACAAAGATCTTCTTAATAAATAGTTGGGGGAAAATACAATTTCTCAAGGAATTAATAATTTATATCTACAAAGTGTGAAAGAGTAGCAAAGTACACATGAAATCTGCAAAAGCAAGTATTATTAAAAAATAAACTATATTAACACTTTCAAGAGGTTGCATCTTGTCAGAAATATTCTTTATCATCATTGGTATCATCTTTACTTCACAGGAAACTGCGCAGGAAACAGCCACAGCAGATCCTTATCAATCTCAGTTTCGCGCTGCTAGCTCTGTACGTCACTTTCGTCATCGGTATTGACCGACCAACCTCGAGGATCAGCTGTACTTTGGTTGCTATCCTATTGCATTACTTCTGCCTTGCATCGATTGCTTGGATGGGTGTAGAATCCTTCAACATGTACATGATGTTTGTTAGGGTTCTGAATTCATACATACCGAAGTTTCTACTAAAATGCTCTGTGATTGGTTGGGGTAAGTTGCTGGATTTAAAAGTAAAACAATTGTCATAAACTTTAATATAAAATTATTTCGTGAACATATCGCATATCGATTATTATTTATAAATTTCAGAAGAAAGGTCTCTAAAAGTGAACTCTCGGTTTCTCATTTCCAATGATCAACGTAACTGTTGTGCTATTAAACTATTTTGTTGACAACCATCCATGTTCCTTCATCTTTACTTTCTCAATAGTAACTTTTTACTTGAATATTTACACGAATTGATGTTACAAATGGTTGACACCGTGAAATTCTTGTCATTCCTCACGAGGCAGCAACATATGCCATTAGCTTACCTTATATAAACTCATATGTACGAAAAGGTTGGGGAACACCAGGATATTCCTATATTTTCTAACACGATATAAAAAGAGAATTTTTCATTGAATAGACAAGGGTTTAATCTGCTGATGATCATTAGTAGATAACGTAAAAGGGGAACGGGTTAATCATCTATATAACAAAGCTGGTTTACCAGTTTTGGTAGGGAATTCTTGCCACTTAATTACAATGCTACAGCTTCGTTATTCATTTTTATTTGTTGCATCTGAACATAAAATCATGAGCCAAAAATGAAACTAAAGGCTATTATTCTGGTTTCTCTCCCGACCTGTTAACATTTAACATGTCTTAATTTTGTGCGTATCCCCACTTTTTATGTGCTATTCTTTCCAACTGTGTTGTCTATTACATTTGTATACAGGCATTCCATTGGTTGTCGTCATAATAACAGTTGCCAGCAAGTGGACAGCTTACCAAAATTATGAATAGTAAGCAATTATTGAAAATTTGTATATTTTAAATATTTGCATATTTGTTTATAAAATTAAAACAAAAAATCCCACGAGAGTTACTGAAGCTATTTTGTTATAAAGAATATTTCATTTTCATTGTGTATCTGATTAATGTTCCAGTCAAATTCCAACGATTTAACCAGGTGGAAATTACGCAATGTGTGTGGGTGTCCGTGTAAGATGTGCGCGTGTGTGTATGTGTGCGAGAAGGTAATATTATGTTACTTTACAAAAGAATCCTCTGCTACATTCATGATAGTTTTCTTGCAAAAGACATCTACTTTATGACGGAGAATCATTGTCGAACTGGTGACCTATCATCTATAATTTCTTCTTATTTCCAGCTGTTTTATTCTCCCTGGATATTCGTTATACTTCGGACTGGTCCTTCCCATCGGACTCATCCTGTCATTCAATGGCATCATTTTCGCTATGGTACTCTACAAACTGAGTTGTGGTAGGATCTCAACCTCCAAGTCAAGCACATTGGAGTCAAAGAAAGAGAATACCATCAAAGCGCGCATGGAAGCCATTCGCCGCGCCCAAAACGTCGTCGCGATAGGCACGCTGATGGGTCTGACATGGGCTTTCGGGTTTCTGTCTTTTGGTGGAGGTCGCTACTTGTTCAACGCCTTATTCTCCATCTTTAACTCCCTCCAGGGAGTTTTTGTGTTTCTTCTCTTTGGCATGAGGCAACCAGAGCTGAGAGAAAAATTGACGATAACTAAGAATCGTTTTCTGCATGGTGCATCGTCTGCCCGTAGACGCAGTTCTGAATTTTGGGCATCGTCGAGTGGAGCACGTATGACCCAACGACCTTCTGACGTCACGTTCATCTCGACGGTTAAAACTGATTCTGTTGCTGAAGGTCAGGCTTCCACGTACTTCGAAAGTACTCTTGATACAGGTCCACCTTTAAATAAACAGTCGGATGATACTCTTCTTTAATGACAGAAGAGAAACAGACCTCTACGATTCTATAAAGTGCGACCCAGAAAAAACGAAACCGAGAATTGTCGATGTTTCATCATAACTTAATCACAATTATAAGTAATAAATGACACAGATTTGTAAAGCTTATACACAAATAAATATTTGGGTAATCTTACTCAGATAGGCAAACAAACTTTGACACTATAGTGACACACTTAACTGAATACATTAACTCATTAAATTGAGATTTATAACTCACAGGAATGAGTTTTGTTAATTTGACATTATAGTGACATGGCAAATGAGTATTTTAAATAAGTGAATTATTTAACCTAATGTTGTGAGTAAATCGATCCAACTCAACTAGTGAGTAATGCTTCATTTACTCAGTCAGTCAGGTTATATCGCCGTTCGTACGGTGAGTTTGTATGTTTGTCACTTAAAAATGGAAGTCCTTCGCCATGCACTACCTACACTTCGGTCGTGCACAAGAAGAGCTTCAAAATTTCGGCTCTAGATCTAGATTTTATATCTGATCGGTAGCCTTAACTTGTTTTAGAAAAAGGTCTGCATAAAATTCAAGGGATCCCTTTACTACTAACTGATTCAAAATTAAGAAAAATTAAATCTACTTACACTTATTCTGGGGATCGTCGGCCGCTAAAAACGTGACGGTCGGGTACGTATGTACGATCCAACGAATAAAGAGTCTGTGACAAATTAGGGAGCAAAGAGCCACTCTACACACTTTTTTTTACTCATCCGGTCACTAAAGTTGGAGAATAATCTATACTTTAATGAGTAAAAAGATTCCAATTGTTTGAACAATGACCATGCTAATTATGTATGTAATACATATGATAATATTGTGATATGCTTATGTGATGCTAGTGAATCTCTATATCACTGTAAAAACAAGGTTCATAATACTAGGCCTGGCTGGAATGAGCATGTGTCAGAGCTCCACTCTGCTGCTCGTGAGGCTCACCTACTCTGGGTTGAAGCTGGCAAAAACAGACAGGGACGGTTATTTGAGCTAAAAAAAGAGGGCCAATGCACGATTCAAGTATGCTCTCCGTTTTATTAAGAATAATGAGAAGTCATGCGGGCGGACTCCGTTGCTCGTAAATTGCAGGGTAAAAGTTATTATTTTGGAAAAAAATGAAATGTGTTAATAATAGTAAAGCGCCCCTTCCAACTAATATTGAAGGTATCTCTGGTGATGAAAAAATAAGTGAATTGTGGTGTAGCCATTATAAGGATTTGTTTAATTGTGTACAGAGTACGGTGCAGGATGTAACTAATGTTGACTTTGATGTAAATATGGTTATCTCTCCTGAGGAGGTAAAAGAAGATATTAGAAAATTAGACGACAATAAGTCATGCGGTCTTGATACTATTACAGCTAAACATTTAAAGTTTGCAAGTCCGAAACTCATGCCCTTGCTTGCAATGTGCATTTCCGGATTTTTGATTCATGGTTTCTTACCAGATATTATGATTTCCGTTGTTTTGGTGCCGGTCCTTAAAAACAAAGCTGGTCGCATTACTAGTAAGGACAACTATAGACCTATATCATTGGCTAGTGTCCTGTCCAAAGTGCTGGAAAAGATATTGCCTGATCGGTTGGAGATGTAAATTCTTACTAAAGACAACCAGATCGGTTTTAAAGCCAAACATGGCACTGACATGTGTATATTTGCTCTGAAGAAAGTTATTGCAAGTTATCGTAGCAGAAATTCTTCCTTGTTTCTTTGTTTTCTTGATGCTTCCAAAGCTTTTGATCGGGTAAATCATGAAAAGCTGTTTACGAAAATGGCTGATAGAGGTATTTCTAAGTACCTGATTAGGATACTCGTGTTTTGGTATACCCATCAAACAATGATGCCTAGATGGGGAAGTAGTGTGTCTGAACCATTCCATGTCATTAATGCAGTTAGATAGGGAGGTATTCTTTCTCCCTTTCTCTTTAACCTGTAAATGGATGGTCTATCCGACAATTTGAATGCTTGTAAAAAAGGCTGTGTAGTTGGCAGTATAGTAGTCAATCAGTTAATGTATGCCGATGACCTCGTTATTTTTAACCCGTCAACTGCTGGGTTGCAGAGTTTGCTCAAGATTTGTTCTGATTATGGATATGATAATGATGTCAAATATAATGCAAAAAATAGTCATGTTATGATGATTAGATGTAAGGAACACTGTAGATTGGTATTCCCGGATTTTTATTTATGTGGAGCTAAACTCAATGTGTGTACAGAACAGAAGTCATGTATCTTGGTCATTTCTTTTTATACTGAGGATCTCTGTGATGATAAAGATATTAGTCGACAGTGTCGTAAATTATATGCTCAAGGTAATATGCTCGTTACGAAATTTCATATATGTTCTCCAGATGTGACGGTGGCATTATTTAGGGCATACTGTACACCCAAGGAGTTACTACCTTTGTATACTGCGCATCTGTGGAGTAATTTTAAGAAGAGCTGTTTGCACAGGCTTGCTGTGGCCTATAATGATGCCATGAGAATGCTTCTTAGGGTACGTAGATACTTTAGTGCTAGTCGAATGTTTGCTGAGTTGAATGTTCTGGTCCGTTCGGCTGTTTTACGAAATCTCATGTATAAGTTCATCCAGAGAGTGGATGTCTCTGAGAATGGTATTGTAAAGGTATTAGTGAACCCCACGTATAGTTGCCTTAGGTACACATCGGGCCTCTGGAAATTTTGGCTTAATAGACTGCTGACGGTTCTAGGACAATTACCCCCTGGGCAATCACCCCCGGAAATTTACCCCCCGGAAAACTACCCCCGAAGGACAATTACCCCCCGGAAAATTACCCCCCGGAGAATAACCCCCCGAGGACAACTACCCCCCAAGGACAATAACCCCCCGGAAAATTACCCCCCGGAGTATTACCCCCCGAGGACAACTACCCCCCGAGGACAATTACCCCCCGGAAAATTACCCCCCCGGACAACTACCCCCCGAGGACAACTACCCCCCGAGGACAACTACCCCCCGAGGACAACTACCCCCGAGGACAATTACCCCCCGAGGACAACTACCCCCGAGGACAATTACCCCCCCCCCCCCGAGGACAACTACCCCCGAGGACAATTACCCCCCGAGGACAACTACCCCCCGTGGACAATCAGGATTCAATAGCAAAAGACGATCTGATACATTGAGAGATGGCTACGAGCCTATAAGACCCCCTTCATGAACCCATATTCGCTCAAATACTAGCACGTTGTCTTCCTCGTTACTAAACATTTCCCTTTAATACATATACACTGTCGCTCATAAAGGTGGAATATTTTGTTTTTATACCAATTTATGGAATTATTTTAAAAATTATTTAAAAATAATAGATCTAGATAATAGTATACATTCTCAGATTTTATTGATCAATAATTTGCCAATGTGTGCTTTGCGTGACTGCTAAAGCATATGTATGCTACTATGCTTATTAACTAGGGGACCTATGCCCTTAAGTCATAAATGACAGTAATGAGGATTAATGCCCCGCAAAAGGGCACTAATATAGCACATCGACACGGTTTTGATCCTGGGGCCTCACAGTTACGAGGCCATTGCTTTGTCACTGAACCATGACTGTACGCAGCGGGGGCTAGGGTAGGGGGCAGTTTCCATAAATAAAATAAAACACAGAAAATGCAATAAATTTTCAATAATTTATTGTATTTTACCCCGGTTCCCAACATAAACAAATCTTCTGTGTGCCCATGCCTTGAGCCATAATGCATAGCCGTCCAGAGGAACTGAAATCAGACAAGGATTAAGAGTCGAGAATGGTACAACGAATCGTCTTCTTTCTTTATCAATTTAATGAAATGTCAGAGCTTCCGCGCTACGCGCGAAGGAAGGGGAACTTTATTCATTTAATAATTAATTAAAGGTCAAAAGAAATTGAATTTAGACAAGGATTAAGAGTCGAGAACGGTACAACGAATCGTCTTCTTTCTCTAATAATTAAATGAAACATCAAAGCTTCCGCGCTTCGCGTGGGACGGGGACGAAAAACCCCCTCCCTGCAGCCACCCCCTTTAGGGAGCGCGCTTCGCGTGCTCACTACCGCCCCCCTAAAATAAAATCCTTGCTACGCGCTTGAGAGGATAATAACCCAAGTTGCAAGCCCACATGGGTCCCATATTCTCTGAAATGTTATCTTTATTGAGGGTGACTTGAAAAAATTAATAACTTGTAAGGGAGGGGGTGCAACCTGCCACACATTTCTACCTCTTGGTTGCTTTGATCCATTGCCGAAATTATTTTGGCACCTATCACCCCCCCCCCCAACCACGGATAAAAATCGACACCGTTGTGACCAACAATGACGGTCGCATACTACCGGGTACCCATTTAACACCTGGGTGGAGAGTAGCAAGTGCAGGTTAATATCTTGAAAAAGGATATTAGTGCCGGTGTCGTGATTCGAACCCTCGACCTGCGCATATCATACTCCCGCATGACAACATAATTATATAGATAACGTGAAGAAAACCTTAATTTCGGATCATGGTCGAGGGCCCATTATACAAAGACAAATACACGATCAGCTTAAAAAGTGACAGAGGATGCATAAATGAAATATTACATCCTAATTTATTTGTTTTGCCATTGTTGGTGAGAGAGGCTGTAAGGCGTACTCATCTGCGCGCAATGTATTATTGAATTTCTTTAAAAAATGTAATTTCTGTTATTTACTCGGTAGCAAAACTTCGAGGGAATTGGGCAACTCCCACCCCTCCCCCTCCCACACTGAAATGAACTTCACAAATAACATAGAAATTGAAAGTTTATGAAATTTTCTATAAAGAGCAATTTGGAGAGAAGCTCGCATTATTTGTCACAGTGTTAGAAATTCCTCGGGGTGATTGTCATCGGGGATAGTTGTCCTCGGAAGAGGGGGGTAGTTGTACTTGGGGGGTAGTTGTCCTCGGGGGGTAATTGTCCTCGGGGGTAGTTGTCCTCGGGGGGTAATTGTCCTCGGGGGGTAATTGTCCTCGGGGGTAGTTGTCCTCGGGGGGTAATTGTCCTCGGGGGGTAGTTGTCCTCGGGGGTAATTTTCCGGGGGGTAATTGTCCTTGGGGGGTAATTGTCCTCGGGGGGTAATTCTCCGGGGGGTAATTTTCTGGGGGTAATTGTCCTTGGGGGGTAATTGTCCTCGGGGGGTAATTCTCCGGGGGGTAATTTTCTGGGGGGTAATTGTCCGTGGGGGGTAGTTTTCCGGGTGGTAATTTTCCGGGGGGTGATTGCCCAGGGGGTAATTGTCCTGATACGACTGCTGACACCTCGGAATTGATCATATTTTGCATAATGTTACCAAGGATTATCCAGCCTCTCATGGTTGCAGTATAGTCCTTAGTCCTTGTTGCTTGTTATAATATCTAGTTATCTATTATTAGTATATTGTTTTAGTTGTTGAGCAGAGAGTGTTACAATTAAGTTACAACTTAATTTTGTTATACATATATTTATTTTAATCTTGCAGTTACAGGTACAGCTTAGAGTTAGATTGCTATAGGCCTTCTGTTATCAATTTTACAGATAAAGGTTACATGTTACAGTTACATTGTATATACGTAGTATAGTTAGTTGTTATATTCTTTAGTATTTGTACGGTTTGTTGTTATTATACTCATCATGTTTATACTCAGCTCTTTTCCCTATCTATATGTAACATATGTTTTATGGACCTCTGCCTTGTGCAGCTGAGTCTGAAATAAAGTTCTGAATTGAATTAAATTGAATTGAATTCATAATTTTGAGCTGCTTGTTGATAATGTTCTAATAGAAAAAGGTTATCAACAACATTCTTAGGTGTATATACTGTATAAATGAAAGATGTAACTGGAATGATCATGTGAACTGTATCTCTACCCCTATTTCTCGCAATATTGGTATACTATTTAAGCTAAAATATTTTTGGCCAACACATGTGCTAAAAGTATGCTATATAATACACTGGTTTTACCATATATTTCTTACAGCAATATCATATGGGCTACTCATATTAGTACAATACTAATCGTATATTAATGTTACAGAAACAAAGCAATTCGAGTTTGTACCGATGCAGGTTATCGCGACCGCACTGACCCTTTATTTGCCATGATAACGGCATTCTCCCCCATAACTAGTCATATTATTCCAACATAATGCTAATTTTCACTCCTACCCAACAAGGCATTCCAATGACTATCACCTATTTAACGCCAAAACAGCCTCAGCTCAAAACTCAATTAGACATTCTGGCCCTGATATCTGGAATGCACTACCCCCTGAAATAAAAGTCGATTATTATACAATGCTATTTAGAGCGGTGAAAATGTTTCTTATTGCGCATTATCTTTAAATCCACAATCAAAATTTGCTTACCATTAAATCTTCATAAGTTCCCCTCGTATACCCGTCGTTACAAAAGTCGATAATTTTCGGTACTCTTATTTGTTTGCTTCCATTCATTGAAAAGTTGAATTTAACCTTTCATGACCTGGTATGAATTAACGTATGAATAAAAAGTGGCCTACTTGGGATACTAACTTAACACTGTCTTCTATACAAACATTCCAAGGCTCCGACTCGCAGGCCTAGGTTTACAGTCTTTATAATTCAGCTCGCTGATCTCACATTCTTTTTCATATCGACCAGAAACCTCGCGAGTCTTTTCATTCTATAATGTATCCCAAGTTGGCCACCCTATATTCAAATGTGCATCTTCTTTTCGTTTTTGTTTTATCTACATAGGCCTATATCACATCAAAATCCAACTACCACATACATCTGTGAATCTTAATGTACACCACCTCTTTCTTTTCCCCTCTTTTTCTGTCTCTCTCTCTCTCTCTCTCTCTTTCCCCTTTTACCAATATTTTCCATCCATATTTGTACTATTATGTATCTATTGAGGGTATTCATGCTTTGCTTACTTTGTCAACCCTCCCATTTGATGTTCTCAATTAGTAACAGTCAGCCTTACTTTATTCTATATATATTCTTTTGTCATGTGTAAAATTTGCAATGTTTTGTTCGTTATATATTTGTAAAAATGCAAAAGAAAAAGAAAGTCAAACAGAAATAAATAAATCAAAAATCAAATAAATCAAAACAGGAAAAGATATGACTCTTGGTTCTATAACTACAAAAAAGATTTATTCAAAATTAAGTGCAAGGGTTACTCAAGAACCGTCAACTATTTATATCTGGTCGAATGTTTTGCATTACCAGACTATTTCAATTGGAACAAGTTTTTATAGTTCAAAATGTGTAAAATTGGAGATAACATGATTATAAGCAATTCAATTTTAAATTTCTGTACAATATTTTACCTTCAAAAGAAATTCGCTAATATGGCGTGTTCTTAATGACAGCAAGTGTAGACAGTGTGAGGAGGTTGAAACAACTTCTCATTTGTTATACACTATAAACTCGTTAGAACATTTTGGAAAATCCTTTAAAAAAATTATATCACCTTTTCAAGATAAATGTTTATATAAGTGAAGAACTTCTAGTAATAGGCTATAAAATGAACGATGTTACTTGTTCTTTTTCTTATATTTATATATATATATATATATATATATTCGTTTTAATGTTTTGTAATACTGCAAAGCGCCAGCGGGGGGGGGGGGCGCATATAGTGACGCAGTGTCGCTTGACGTCGTGTCCTGTGTGCGTCCTTTGCTGTTAATTTGCTGTAAATGTCTTATCCTCATATAGGTCTTTATACAAACAAAATTCGTGTACATATTTGTTTTCCCGTTAATGTTGTTTTTGTTAATTTTCTCGATATACGTGTCATGTTTGGTGTCCCAATCACAAGTTTGTTTTCAAACTTCTTCAGGGGCTCCTAATCCTATGTTTTTATATTTTCATGAATTATTATTGTAAAGGTATTTTTATGGTTGAATAAATAAATGGAAATTGAAATTGAAATGTTAACGCTTATTCGCAACATAGCACAGTACGCAGTATATTGAAACTTTATAAAGTGTATATTTAGGTATTAAGGTAAAAAAAAATACAACGACAAATCTTTATGGTTTGAATAGTTTATAGTGAAATATTATTTTAAAAGTGTAAGTAATTAGAAATTTGGAAAAGTAGGTGAAGTTCAATTTTTTTTCAAATCATTAGTTGCTGTAAGATTTGATTTTGTTATTGTATGTTATTATGTTATTGCTAATAAATACATCTTTACAAAAAATGACCTTTAAAATAAAGATATTTATTCTGGAACTTTTTTTTTCTTGTCTAAAGCTATAACAACCTAAAAAAAAAAGAATTTTAGGCCAATTTATTGAACGCTGTTTTATGGAGAAAATTCCCAACTCTACTCAATGCATCTTCAGTGCACACATTACAACTATGTGTTATCCCTCTGTACATTGAGCTTCTTTGGTCTACCTATATTTGCTAATGGACTGGTCCGCACAGTCGCCTTTGTGTGGCTGTGTGTGCAGTTGGCGCGTAGGGTCATGAGACGTACCTGTGCGCGCTGAGCAAAGAAAGACAAGCACAGATCCGCTTTAGTGGAATTTCGACCTGAAACTTTTCCATGTGCTTGGGCACCGAGCGTATTTTGGTGCCCCGCAGATCACCGGCCGGCCGCCGGGCAATTTCTTTAAAAAAATTAGCCGGTGGCCGGTGGGATACCACTCGGGAATCGATGGGTCATCAGTCGGTCACTGCCGGGACGCCGCCCGAAAAATCTCCCCGATTTCGCCCAGTTTTGACCTAAAATCGACCGGCGACCGACGGGAAATAGACAAGGTACCGCCCAGGCATCGCTGTGGTTCTACAGCATGCTCGACTTCTCAAAAAATCGTTAGGCGATGCCTAAATTCTAGCGGCGACCGAGCATGCTACAAATCGGTCGGTCGCCGCTCTGAGTTGTTGCTGAGCAAAGGTGGCGACCTTCTTCTACTCGGGGCCTCTATTTAACGTCCTGTCCCAGAGACGAATAGGGTGGACAAATTTTAATGTAGCGCCTTTATCTGACAATCAGTACATGACATCGGATTATACTTTTATCTAATGCTTTATGATTTCTCAAGACACGAAAGCTCATGGTTTTTGTTATTCTTCTTTCAATAGCATTTATTTATAAACTGAAGACTTTCATTTCACATTCAAATAAAAATATCAAACAAAATCAAATAAAGTCTAAACAAATTTTTACCAGTACATTTCTTGTTAACTTCCAGTCTTTTTAGTAGTTCACAAGCAAATACAAATTCAAATTGGATTTTCTATTATCAACAATCTTATAATTTCGTAACAACTGTCCACAAAGCTATGGTAATAAAATCTTCTATTTCGTTATGTTCGCTATTTTTTTAATGAAAAATCAATGTTAATGACAATATGCTTGTGAAAAACTGTTTTAATCAGCCAGGTAACATATGCCCCAATTTGTTTTATTTAATTTACACGTAACCAAAGCATTTATAATATCTTTATCTTCTTGACAATTATGGTATTTTGCATCTTCACTCATTCTCCATTTACATATATTACTTTCCACAGGCAATACGCTATTCAACACTGTAAAATTGAATTATTTCTATTTGTTTTCTTTTACTTGTAATAAATCCCGTTCAAAACAAATCTTTCATTTTGTATTCATCCTTTTAAAAAAATCCCAGAAGAAACAACATCGTGTATTTACCCCTTCCTGCTGTATCAGATGGTTATGTTAATACCACAAAATAAAATATGTTAAAGGTAATACAAAGTTTTGGTATGGGTTCATGAATTTGGTTCAAATGAACATATTGGAAGCATTTACGATTTTACCATATTTAATGATCGTTGTCGCGCTTGAAATCGAGTCTAAAGTGATGAAATGTTAAATAAAAAAATCGTTATATTGTAAAGCACCCTCTCAAAAGTGATATTACTTTAGTCTTAAAAACATGTTTCGTGACTACAATCTACCGATTTGCTATATCCGTTTGGAACTGCATATTCTGAGATTTCCATGGTCGCAGCTACCATGGAATGGCCCAAGGCGCTATTTAAAACAAAAAAATATAACTTTGACTGCTAATTTTGTCCCTGCTTTTATTAAATTAACATTATGTTTATATTGAGACGTTCTGTAGTTTAAATATTTAGAAAGATGTATATTAAGTATTTTGATGTTCTTCGTGATTCACAGAGTCGTTGGTTAAAGAAACATGGATTTTTTTTTTTTTTTTTAGTTTTTCCTCTTTTTTCGTAAGTCCCCAAATTTTTTCTTTTAAAGATTTTGCCAATCATTGATTTTATGACGTCACGATCATAGTAGATTGCAGTACCGTAGTAGCCCCATATATCCGCGTTCGTGGAATTTGAGAATAATCATCGACCGGAGTCGAGATAATTGCCCCCTGAAGCTTTCTCTTTAGGATGAGACTTTTTTCTTCATTCTTTATATGATGAGCTAGTCATAATCTCAGTAACATAATTAAAATAAGGCAAAACAGAATTAAAAGATACAAAATAAACTCCTAATGCAAGGAATAACCGGCAAGGTTGTGTATACATTAAAACAGGTCAAGACAGTGAATGAAAAGAATGGTAGAAGCTTTGAATTTGACCCAAATTCACATTTATTTAATCTAGGAAAGCTTACAATTTAGGTGATAATAAATACCACACATTCAATATTGTAGCAGTAGAAAAAAAACCCGTAATTTAATGGAATAAGGAAATTCGTACACAAATGCATTAGCACTAATAAATGCCTAGAATTACCTGGTCATAATGCGTAGTAACCCAAGCAATTTAGTTAGCAAAGCATCGCGGTTCACGAAACATCAAGTGAGTCTATATAGTGATGAGGTCAAGAATATAATAACATGAAAGATCAAACTGCATAAGATTACTTCGACAAAACCACAAAGGTAATTGTTACACAGTTTTCCGAGTGAAATGATTATTTCAAGAGGCCAGCATTGGATCGTGTACACCAAGCTGCTCATGAAAAGAGAGAGCGAATTAGATTAGAAAGTGCCCTGAGATAATAATTTAGCAATATGCAATTCGTTCATACATATTTAGAAAAAAAGTAATTTGTTTTTATACATTAGTAACTAGAACCTGCATAAATGAAGATTACAATTGGAGAAAAAGGGCTAAGAAGGACTAGGGAGGGCACACAAAATTTACTAGACATGATAATTTCAGTTTCAAAGCAATTTAACGATGATCCGAATCCAAACCATTCCAAAAAGAGGGACCGCTATAATTTTTTTTTTTGAAGGGCAAAAACTGTCCTGATTAGGTGGAGATAGAAATTATTTCTGTGTATTGTGGGATAGGAGTGAATAACGCTGTATATCTAAATGTATTGGACAAATACCGTCCACAAGACAATGAATAAATAATTATTAAGACCCTAGTGCACACATCATTGCAGCTGTGGAAGTTTTGTTTTCATTAATTTTGCTGATTTTCAAGGTGTTCTATCAAAATAAGTTCTAGGTGATAAAGGTTTATTTCATCAGAAAATCAATAGAAAAGTTCTTTGGTAACCTTTAAGACAATTAATGTGTAATAAAAATTGTAATTCTATGAAAAACAAATTGTGAGAATATGATTACCCCCCCCCCTCCCTCTTCCATTAAATGCATTTTTAAAAGTTGTTCTTTATATTTTGCAAATTGATTATTCAATCCACTTGACAGTTAAGCCTATAGAACCACGGTTTGATAAAGCATTTGCGATGCAGAAGAAAGCCATAAAGTATTCTTAGAATAAGATGACACATTTCAAAAGCTGACAATCGGCTAAAGCTAAAAAACAGTAAAAGAAGACAATGCGCTCAAGTAAAACCTTTCAACTACAGTAACCTATTATCAAAATAATTATCAAAAACCATCAATATTGGAAAGTTTTAAATATGTAAAAACTATCGATGGTAAGAGCATGTATCACATGATTTTATGTTACTAAAGTTCTCAAAGTACGCTCCAATGAAAACAAAATCAAATCATTTAACAACTTAGGGACCCTTTAAAATGACGCTTTTGGGCATGAGGGACATCGTTACAATGTTTTAAGAAATACAATGTGACCCTAACTACATGTAGAAGTGATAAATATATCGTTATCGTCTTTTTTTTGCTTTTATATGATAACCATTTTCATTTTTTATTGTATAAATGATGTATTAGTATCATGCGTTCGGATTGTATCATTTTGTGATTCACAATTCACATAAATATTTGGAACAGGCCCAGGGGAAATCTTGCAAAAGGTTTTGTTATTTTCGAACAATATATTTTCCTTTACATACTTGTTTTTTTAATTTTCTCAACTCAATCGTCCGTTACGTCTTACGCATACTTTTACATTAGTAGTAGTAGTAGTAGTAGTAGAAGTAGTAGTAGTAATAGTACTAGTAGTAGTTAGTAGAAGACTTTATTGTACAATTTTTTTTAACAAGACTAAACTGCTACATTCTACAAAACATCATGTTTCGACCCGGAAGTAACGATTATAACCGCTTGTCTTCCGGGGCACATTGAAGGCAGTGGTTCAGTAAAGCTAGTGTTTTTTTTCCATTTGGATAATCGTGACGTCAGAGGGTCGTGAATCCATGCGCGCTTCACTCGATGAGGTCCAAAAGTCTGAACCTCTACGCGCAGACCTTACACTCTGCAACAGTCGCATCCGAGTCGCCCTTAGTTTTTCTTTCACTTCAGGTTGCCTGATGCCAAAGAGGAGGAAGACAAAGACTCCCTGGAGAGAATTCAAGAATGCGAAGAGGGCACCGAATACCATGCGACCATCACCTACAGCCAGGAAACCAAAGACCCAAGTGAGACCGAGCAGCGTGCCGATTGCCACAGCATTTTGTGCCCGGCGAATGGTTTCGATCCGGGTTTTGGCTCCCCTTTCTTTCTTGGACAGCCTTGTACTGGTGGCGGAGAAAGTCTTCCTACCACAGGTTAGCTTATAGATAACAATTGTAAAGGTGATGCAATTACAGGTGAGGATCAGACCGATTGGCAGAATCAGTCCAAAATATAAAGAAGGTCCGGGTAAAAGGAAGCAGCTGAAAGAAAAGGGGAAACAAATATATATTATTTGCCACTGATCAAGAAATATTTATTGACCTTTTCCATTACAGGGGACATAAAAACGAAAAATATGACATTTGAAATGAATTTGCTACTCTGAGAATTTAACATAATCATTATAACATGAACTCAATATTAAGGCAACCCATTCATCTCTTGTTTGGATCAATGAACTTATGATCATCTACGCATGTTAAGCATCTCTGTAATATTGACTTTCTCATTAAGACTGCGCTTGTTGGCTTGTTAATGTAACTTTGAATGCAAATTATGACGAAAGACGGATCAAAGGTGTTTTGGAGCGAAAATATTTAAATATATATATGTTTATAAATGTGTATATATATATATATATACATATATATATATATACACATTTATAAACATATCCCTAGTACATATGCAACCAATTTACTTTTATAAGTAGGTTGCATTGAAACAGATTATTATGCTTTCATCGTAGAAGTGAAAACCACTGTGACAAAATAGAGAGCGGGATAGGGAAAAACTATTAAAAGTTAAAGTAAAAAAAAACGATTGAGAAAATGAGCTGCGTGCACCTAAGAGAATGAAGGTAATACGTTGTGGAAAAAGAAAGGAAATGGAGAGTACACTATTAAAGGGGAGGGGAGTTTTTCACCCAAAAAATAACAACACAAGTCATCTTATTATGTTGTTATCTCTTTTTAAGTGGCTGCCTTGGCAGGACATATAGAGTGATATGTGATTATACTGCATCCATAATATAAACTCGTTAGTAATCAAGATCAACATGGTGACGGTGATGATTCATAGTATTGATTATGCGCAGTATTTCGACTAAGAAGATTACCGTGACCCCTTTTTTTTAAATCGATTAAATCAAATCTTGTATTCAAGAGACAGTGGCAAGTCATGACTAGATAAGACTTCATGAAAGTTTGTGAATGACATCTGGTTTATTATAAATAAATCGCAGAATAGCATGATCTATGTAAATCAAGAAACAGTATTGGTATTCATACTTTCCTATTATATTTTCCCGCTCAATAGAAATATATGAAACAAACTGTATTTTTGACGCAGCAGTAGAAGCGGCAAAAGAATTGTCAAAGTTTCAAAAATTAAAATTTGTTGCTGGTTGTCATTGTTCTCGAAGCTTTGGAGATTATTCAGCCACTAGTCGTTAATCATTCGCCGATCAGCTACCGACAAATGTTCTCAACGAAATATCGCCCGGTAAAAATAGGTAAGCACTCAGAATCAGGCCTTGTTCAGGCTGTGATCAGGCGGCGATCAAGGGGCGATCAGTCAGCAATCAGTGTGAGACCTGTCGCCTACCCTTGTGGCCAAGATGAACCTGACATTTTCCACGACCAGTTTGATCGGCAAAAGGTTTTCGATGCAGCCACGTAAACCTCCATCCGACCAAAGCTCTGCCTGGAGACCAATGCCGACCACCGACAACCTTTTTAAGATAGCCAAACACCTCTCTACGACCTCTGACAACCAATTATCGAACAGTGGTTGTCCGAAATCGTACCTCTAGTGTGACTTAAGATTAACACGCCACATTACTTTCTAACACCTGGTTATATCTGTGTAAAACTGATATGAAGAGACGCACAATGCTTTCATGAAAAGCCGAGAACAAATTGAGCGTTTTGGATTAAGCACAAAGCAACGGAGGTCTTTGTCGGGTTAAGAGCAAAATTGTTGAATCTTTTTTCTTACTATTCAGAGTTTTGGTACGCTGTCCATTTGCTGGCAACTGTTGCTATGACGACCATGAACGGAATGCCTGTATTTTGGAGTATAAATACCATTCAGAAATGTCAATAAGTATAATATAGTGATAGGAGAAATGACTGAAGCAAAAAAAAATGAGTGAGAAACAAAGATTGATAATACATAACATCTTGGATAGCGGTCCTGGATACGATGAAAAGCGTCCACCTGGTAGGTTCAGGCTGAGATCTTCCCCGAAAATTTTTGTTAAAGGCAAATAGGAAATATAAGACATTATAATGTGTGTGCCCTAATGTGAACTATAACACAAAGTTCACATTTGCCTTAATTCATATGCCATAGGTAGCACATACTTCAATGTGTGTTTTCAAGATCTACAACATACAAAACAATATGATCAATATTACAAGCATGCGGGCTCATTAATTCAATAGATCATCTTCGCAATTTAATCATATTTAATGCATAAATCTTTGTGCCATGTTAATTATTTAATTCACCTGTTACAATTACTTACATTTCAATAGTCAGCGTGCGAATTGCATACATTAATTGTTGCTGGTAGGAAAAACCTTTGAAATAAATTCGTTTGTAACAGGTGAAAGAAAACATTGTAATGAGCACTTTAACAAGATTTATGGATTAAATTTGATTACATTACGGAAATGGCCTATAGGTGGACGAGAGATGTCTTTTCATTGACAAAGCCACCCTCCCCCAAATTTAAGGGATCCCCCAAGTTGTCTGCACTTTAATTTAAACCCGTCTGACACCATCGTCTGAGCCAAGAAAGTTTTGCAGATGATCAAAAGTGCTGAAAAGTTCTAAATACATAATGTAAATAAATTTGCTGCGACTCCTTGAAAACTTTTGAAATTACTGACAAATACAAAATATTCTTAAAAAAAAGGGGTGGGTTAGTTTACCCTTTAAGATGTTTTGCCACTTCCGCCATTATTTTCCTCGAATGTTAACAAAGCATCTAGAATCTTGGCACAAGATCGTACGACATAATGCGACCCTTATGGAATAGGAACCTTAAAGGAAATAGTCTTTGAGACGTGAATAGTACTCAAGTTTAAAAAACATAGTCATATCCACACGTCATCTTGCATAGATTGCAACCAGGGTCTCTCAATGCAGTACATACTTGTGTATTTGGATACGGGAATATCAAGTATATTGTTTATTGTCTCATATGTGAAGAATCGACACCTTACAACAATAAAACCTTTCGAATCACATAAATACGGTTTATAAAAATAACATTTCAAATCGGTGAGAGTAAACTTACACATTTGCGGGAGCTGGAGCTTTGTGTTTAAGTCATCAGAATATCAAATGAAAACAAACTGTCGGTGAATTTTAATACCGAAAGAAATCGAGTTTGGAATAAAATCAAGCATTATCCCCCACATATTTACAAAAATCAAATGATAATTCATTTTTTGGAGTGCCTTTCTATTATGCCTTGGAAAGCAGTTTATAACCTTTCTTTTGGAAATTCAAACGATTAAAAAAAAATGAAATAGAGCCTTCGACCCACCCCATCCGACGAGACAACATTTAAGGAGTAACTTGGGTATGTAGGTGTCCATAACCCTGACGAATGACATGTACATGCTGAAGGCTTCTACACCCATCCAAGCAAGCGATGCAAGGCAGAAGTAATGCAATAGGATAGCAACCACAGTACAGCTGATCCTCCAGGTCGGTCGGTCAATACCGATGACGAAAATGACGTATAAACATAGCAAAGCGAAACAGAGATTAACGATGATCTGTTGTGGTCGTTTTCCACGCAGTTTTCTGTGGGAAGAAATCCACGAACACATTATTAAAGTCAACGCGTTTGTCTACAAAACCCCTTTCTCGCCAAAGAAAATGAATTATCAATATTCATCTAGAGTAAAATCTACCATATTTATTGGGGCTATAGGCAGAAAATGAACGATATTTTATCAAATATATCGGTGGTATTTACAGCGTACATGTGATTTTACCCACATTAAATCAGTGTGGGATACTTTGTAAGCCAACTGCTCGTATATTCTTCCATATTATTGAACTGTAGTATGGGAAACTATGTACACGGCTAGGCTCTATGTATATTTTGGAAACAAATTAAAGTAGACTTTGCAATATGATTTCATGAAGTAGTCTCCATTATAACATGTTAATAAGATCATATTATTAAACTATACTTTACAGTACCAGGATTTATTTTGAAGGTACTATGCGGCCAAAAAGTAATGATTTTTATAGGATTTTCACTATTTTTATTGGATTTTCAAACTCTATATGGAACATTTCCATGCTAGTGGCGGTCCTAAAACGCCAGAGTAGACGATTAGAATTTTCTTTTAATTCTAAAAAAAATTGTGGGGGATTGTAGTGTGAACGTATGGAAAACGGAAGGTTAGAGAATGACAGTAACAGCTGTAAAAACAAAGAGGTAAAAGAGTGGAGACGGCTCGGTGATAGAGCCTTGGTTTCGAAACTGGGAGGACACGGCTTCTAAACCAAGTGGTTTCGCTAATGCCCTCTATTAAGGCATGTATACGGTTAGTTAGTCCCTCGGAAAGGTCTTAAAGCCGTCGGTCTCCTTGGTGCTTACTTACAAGCATAACACATGCTTTCTTATAAATCAAGTAAAATAAATAATCAAACCAAAATATGGAGGACGTCGTGCTAAGTGATGTTGCAAATGTCATGCATGACATGAGCCTTTGGGATGAAACGCTTAAACTGACAAAAAGTCATATTAACTTTAATCAGCTGGGTTCAAACATTGCTTACCTAAAACCCAGAAGAATGCTAATGGTCAAAGACAGACACACAATTGAAGCAATGCAACCGATGCGACTGATCAGATCAATAACTTGAGATTTAAGACTTCCCTTGATATCCTGAAAATGATAAAGAATAACGATTTGAATTACTATATCTACAATAGGATTCCCCTTTCCAGAAGAATTTTAGATGCATTCCGGTATATATACGATGGACCAAATTAAACTTATTCAAATGTTTGCTGTTCGTATTTGTTTACGATAGCAGAATCCCTACCTAAGAAGTTCATCAACACAAAAGAAGTTTAAACAGGAAAAGATTGGGAGGAAAGTTTAACTCCTTAAAATTCGATCGAATATATTTACATGTAATGGTATGTTTGTGACTATCAGATTCGAACAAAATACCCAAAATATCATTTTTGTCTCTCATGGCTCCCGAAGGTCTTACTAAACATTGTGATTGTAAAAAGTAGTTTATTGGCTATTAGTTTTGTTATAAGTCAAGAAAATAAACCCATAACAAGTTGAAAGAAAAAAGTAAATCTAGTAGTGTATAGTACAGACTAAAATCAAATACATGTATTAATGTGGGCTTTATAGTGCCTAGGTACGCATAACTATGACGTGATACATGCCACCATAAGTAGAGAAGTAGAACATGCATACAATTGCCTTATATAACGTTGTAAACGACCATTGTCTTTCATTCCATAACTTCTTGAAATATCTATGCTCAAAACTGTTCAACACTCAATTATTTCCCCTTTTGATATGATTAACATATGTTCACGATCAAGATGTCTGTATCAGCAACATGGCTTCACGCGTTAACAAACGAGAACATGAGATTTGAAATGGATATTATACCAAAAGAACAGCGAAGCTTGTGAGATGATTACACCGACAGGCCACCATGTCTGTAAAGGTAGTTTTGTCGATTTTACACCCTTCGTCAGACCATTCTTCCAAGGTGATGTCCCAAAACACACAGCGCGCTGGAAGGTTGGTGCCATTGTATTTTTCCGCCGAACTCTAATACAGGTATGCATAACAAAGAACAATTAAGGCGTTATTGTATCGCAAAAACAATTCAGTTAACATTGGTATTCTGAGAACTACACCATCCTAATGACTACACAATTGCAATTTTTGTGCTTCTCTGTCCAAACTGTTTGTGTTACACATGTGATCTGTGACTACATTCTTTCATTACCAAAAGTGGCACCAAAACACAATACATCTACCATTGCTTAGATTTGGCTTTACAGGGCTATAAGTATCGACCCCTGTGTAATGGAGTTTTTAATGGGAATTTCTATTTAGTACATGACCTTATCATCTGTTGAATAATTTACCCTCATTACGACATATGTCTTAAGCTTATCTTCATCATTACAACAAACGTTTTTGGTGAGAAGTGCAATTGACAGCTCCTTCATCATGAAATTTAGTACAAATTCGGGAGTTATTAAGTGGTCGTTTCAATAAAAGAGAGTCTACATAAATATACCTGATTCACAGGAAACACAAAGGTAATTGATTCATTATCAGGGAGGTCTTTGATATCAGTTCCCTCAATGGTCACAGTTAAGATAGGAGAAGCGACAACGGTGATCTTTGGCTGCTGATTCTGCTTGTCTCTAGACGATGGAATACTTGATGAAGATGGTCTGTCACCCTGAAACAGTTTGGGCGAGTTTACTAGAAAGACACTGACGGGTATTGCCTTACTGTCATCTAAAGTTCAAACACAGTGTTGTATGCGTTCAATATACGTGAATGTAATACAAATGCAGTCTTTACAAGAAATCTTCATTTCGGGGAAAACTTACTTTTTGAGTAATTGGTCTCAATGGAATGTCAGGGGTTTCCCATTTGACCGACAGCCCACGAGACCAACATCTACAAATGGGTTCAACACGACCTTTGTAACTTGACAAGTGTGGGTGGGGGGAGATTGGGTCTATCATTAGATCGTTTGCTTGTCTTTTTATTTGTTTCTTAGCTTTTGGTAATATGGTGTCTTGGTTATTCTGATCGCAAACATTTCTTCTTAACTATTGCAACATTAATTTTTTTTTTATGTTCCAATTTATATTATATAAAGTGAACTGTACCTCAGAGTTATGAGAATAATGTTGATTTAAGTTTTAGTCTTGAAGCTGTAGTTTTTCGAAGAAAGTAATGTCAATATCGAAAAAGTAAAGAAGAAGAAACAAACCTGGCACTAAAGGTAGAATTGCAGATGGTAAAGTAACATATGCTACGTCCGCCATATTAGACATAGTTCCTTCATCGGTTGAAATATCGATGACGTCATTCCCGGCTCCACCTATGGCAGTTCTGAGTGGAAAACTCGTCCTATCAACTTTGACGACTGCTAGTATAATATTTGATCCACTGTATTTAGAAATAAAACAATCAGAATGTTGGTGGGGGGGGGGGGTTACACACGTGGGTATTTGGGCTTATTTAGGTATCAGTGGACGTATCAAATTGATAACATGGGTTATAGAATGTAGCCAATGTATTTGGTCAAAAGACATCACGTGACCGTGCACCTTTCTCTCTTACTCCACCCGGGTGATGTACATTGGTACCTGGCAGGAATGAGTTCCTTGAAATTCTACCTAGAGCGCCGTAATGGCCGCTTTGCTGAAGCAAGGATAACAATCGGGCAGCGCCAGGAGCGTCACGATGTGGCGGACGTGTGCGTTTTATAAGAAACCATTTTTATTATTATCATTATTTATTACCAAATGATATTGCACGGATAAGATGCGCGTATGCTCATCTATGTCACGTTTGAAAATAATACCCAATGACATTAGGCCAGTTTACAAATTTAAAAATTCAGCTGCATTTAAACTGCAACTACGAGGATGAAAAAAAAAAAAAAAAAAACGGGTGCAGATTTCTGTTACAATAGCAGCAACGCAAACGTTGCAATTCTGCACCCAAAGTAGTGTAAGAATTACACCCTAAGGGGTGCTGCTATTGTAGTAAATGTCTACACCCCTAAGAGTGCACGTATATGCTCCCTTTCAGTGGCGGATCTAGGGTGAGGCCGCGGGCCCGGGCCCCTTCCCTTGGGAAAAAAACGTGTAAAAACAAGTTAATTTTACCTTTATTTTGGAGATGGGCTCCCTCCCCTGGCGCTCAAGGGGAGGGGGGAGGTGCGATTTTTCAAATTTTCGAGCTCCCCCAAAACAAATTAGTGCTCACTCCCCTTTCCCCCACTGAGCGAATTATCGGCCGGCGCGATTTTCAAATTTTCGGGAGCAACAAAAAAAGAATTAGTGCTCAGCCCCACCCCCCCCCCCCCCGCCCCACTGAACGAATTATCGGCCGGCTGTATCGCCGCTAAATATTTTCTCACGAATTGGGCCCCCTCCCCTGCCGCCGGTTGGATCCACCCCTGCTCCCTCTAGGGTGCAAAACTACACCCCGCCCTATATGGTGCTGTTTTAGTAGCAGAGGTCTGCACCTCTAATGGCGCAAATTTGTACCTTTATTTCTTAGTGTGTATGATCGCGGTTTGTAAAATTCAACCTTTAAAATAAATCATATGGAATTTTAAATGGATTTGACTCTGATTTCTAAAAACTCGAGATCACTCAATACTGAGACAAGGGAAGGGAATCCATCGCGTCCGGTCAATTATCCTCATACCTGTAGGTGAAGTTGTTAGTGGATGTCTTTTGAATGACTTCAGTCAATATGGAGATTGTAGTCAGTATTTCGTTTGAGACCTGCTTGGAGCTCGTTGTCTCGAAGGTACTCTCTGGGATGTTCAAGATATTATCCACCGCTCCTATCACGCTCTCGGAGACCTATTAGAAATTGATTTGTGCATGATATATTTTTTTTTATAGCAGATTTTTCTGCATTTATTGATAAATCAAATATAAAACATTCGAATAACAATAATAGTTTATAATACAATTGATTTACATAAAGAATGACAACTTAAATACACACAAATAGAAAATGCATAATTGAAAGCTTAAAAGTATCGAGGTAAGTAAAAAAAAAAAAAGTAATCAAGATAAATGCAGAGGCCAACTATCATAAGCAAGAATGCTTGAGTCGATAGCAGCCGGGAAGGGGGGGGGGGTACATGGCGTGGTATAGGCATGGATTTAATTCATTCCCAATCCACTTGCAATAATTAAAGGACAGGCTAATTGATTTTGAATATTGATGTTATTTGCATCATGGTATACGAGAAAGTGACAACTAACAATTTTATAAAGTACCGCCTTGGAAACATTCAAAGTAATGATTATTAATCATTATAAAACTAAAATACCGCCCCATTTTTGCACTTGTCTCTTGAAGAGCGCTCCGATCACTCCTTAGATTTGTGACGTCACTAACGGGACCAAATGAGCTATGCACACGACGTTCCATAACATAAATACACTCTAATGCCTGTTTTGTCGTTTTCCCTTCACTTATTTCTCTTACGTTACAAGGGTCATTTAATAATTGTGATTATTTTTTCTATTCTAAATGTCGAACATATTTAATTTTGAGGAAAAAAACAGTCTTAAGTATTCTACATCAGCGTTTCTCAATCTTTTTTGGGGCACGCACCCATTGATGACATAACAAGTTTCGCATCACCCTAATCCCAAATTCATCAAAGATGATTTGTTTTCCACCCAATATAATTATACATAAACGCACGCTCGCATTTTCGCGTTAGGGCCGTGAAATAAACTATCCGGATCTCAAATACTGCAAGGGAGCAAGAACAAAATGGAACTTTCATTATTGTAAAAATGTTATTAGTCATCAATATACACTACAGACAATATTAAATTATATATACGTTCATCTCGTTGCCATGGATCACCCTGATTTATAAATTTTACGAGAATTGAAGCGAACAAGGGGGAAAAGGACACTTTGTTGTGTTATAATTTTCATTGTGATATTTAAAAAATAAATATTAATAAGGTTATGTTCCGGCGCCATGCTGCTCGAGCCATGACGATATTCCGGCAGCGAATACCCGAATATCGTCATATCATCATAATGGAGATATTCATAGACCATGCTGCCTAAAACTATCAGATTTTTTAAATTCTGCGCGCAAGCAAAATTATAATTTACTCATCATTTTCTCATAAAAATACCCAAAGTGATATATTTTTGAGCACCTTGAAGTTTCTGATATTCCGTTATACCAAAATTAGTTATATTATAACTAAAATGTTCTCGCGGCACCCCGGATGAGAACGCTGTACTAGATTGCTACAATTTGAGGGGTCAGATTGACCATACGGGGAGGGGATTACACGACAATTATTTCTTCATAATTATAAGAGTTTGATTATAAGATATACCCTTTGCCCTGTGGAAAAATTGTGCATTTCGTATTGAAATATTTTTCCCGTAGGTCTTCTAGCTATCTCTTAATCCTATCACCATTTGGTTATCTTCTCTGCTGTACACTCCCCCCCCCCCCACTCCGTGATCGGAGGGATACCATGCGTGTTATGGCCCGGTCCCACTGGCCGATGGACACAAAACGTATGCATAACGGACACAGCGGACGAGCAAAATTTTCGGGGTGGTTCCATCCGTTTTCATCCGCTCCAGAAATGGACAAAATTTGCGAACAATTTGCGAACGAAAAAAAACGGACGTGGGTAGTATAAAGCGGGGATGTTAAAAGGATGTTCATCGGAAGCCTAGCGGGTGAAAGCGGATGGAAGTGGATGACAGCTTTGAATACTTTATATACGAGATGCATACGCTTACATCCTTTTTATTTCCGTGCTACTAACAATGTATAATAATAATAATAATAGTTCGTTCTTTTATAGCGCATTTCAGGACCGAAGGCCCTCTCAAAGCGCTTTACAATGTACAATGTACGTTTACATAATAATTACATAATAATTACTCGAAGCATTCATCAAAGAGGTGAGTTTTCAGCGCTCTTTTAAAAAGTTCAACATCAGTCATGGAGCGTAGCGACACTGGAAGAGCGTTCCAAAGTTTTGGTCCACCACATGCGAATGCCCTGTCACCATATGTTTTTGTGGCTCCATGATTGAGGGTGAGAAGGTGTTGAGAAGATGACCGCAAACGCCTTGGTGGGATGTACGGTGTGAGTAAATCTGAGATGTACTCTGGACACATGCCATGGAGAGCTTTGAAGACGATCAGAATCACCTTGTAGCGGATCCGTAACTGAACTGGCAACCAGTGAAGATCTCTCAAGATAGGTGTTATGTGTTGAGACCTCTTCACTTTCGACACTAAGCGAGCTGCAGAGTTCTGAATCCTCTGTAGCTTACCTAGTTCTCTCTCTGGAGCTCCCAGGAGAAGGCAGTTGCAGCTGTCAAGCAGTGATGTTATAAAGGCGTGGACCAATATCTCAGTTGTCCTGCTATTGAGATAATGACGGACACGACCTATTCTTCTGAGGGCCAAAGATGCTTTCTTGCAAGTATTGTTGACATGTTGCTGCATAGTCAAGTGACAGTCAAGGATTACACCAAGATCACGAAGAGATGGGGATGGTCCAACTTGACTGCCACCAGATGTAATAGCGCCCAGTTCTTGACGTTGCCTAAAACGTGACGACACATGCAATACCTCCATCTTACTATCATTAAGTGTAAGTTGATTTTCACTCATCCAGCAACGAATGTCCAGTAGACAGAGTTCGAGTTTTGAGACCATTTGGTCCCTTGCCTGGGGTTTCATTGTGACATACAATTGTGTGTCATCCGCGTACATCATTGTTGAAAATCCATGGCTAAGGATGATTTCTTCCACAGGAGCGGTATAGCATATGAACAGGAGCGGACCGATCACCGATCCTTGCGGGACGCCCCATAGCAGCGTTCTGGGATTAGACTTCACATCCTTGACTAACACACTCTGTTGTCTTCTCGAAAGATAGGATGCAAACCAGTCCAATGCCACCCCGGTAACACCGAATTTGTCTCGGAGCCTGGTAAGAAGGATGGAATGATCCACAGTGTTGAATGCCGAGGTTAAATCCAATAAAAGAAGGACTGCCTCATTCCCAGTATCCAATGACTGCAAGAGGTCATTCTGAACTCTTATGAGAGCAGTCTCTACGCTGTGGTGCTGCCTGTATGCAGATTGTCTAGATGGTAGTAGAGAGTTCGAATTCAGATACGTCATCAGCTGCTGACTTACGATACGTTCGATGACTTTCCCAGGGAAAGGTAAATTTGAAATCGGACGGTAGTTTTTAAGAGTCTCTGGGTCTGCAGAAGGACTCTTCAGCGTTGGGATGATGAGTGCAGATTTCAGTGATGATGGAAAGGTTCCAGTCTGAAGTGACTGGTTTGTCATGTCCGTTAAAGCAGGAAGAAGGATATCCAAGCACTTTTTGAAAACACATGCTGGAACAGGGTCAAGTGAACATGCCTTGATCTTATTTGATTTGATGATCTTGAGCACATCAGCATGGGAAGCCTTGCCAAACTTCTCAAATGAACAAAGCGGTTTGCTTCCAGCTACCAAACATGAAGAAGCCCCAGAAGATCCAGGTTCTTGATTGTCTACCTGTTCGTAGTTCCGCGTTCTTAGATTGACGATCTTACTTTCAAAGAACTGTGAAAATCTTTTAGACAGTTCTGCTGGTGAAGTATGAAGTGGTAAGGTCTGTGAAGGGCTCTCCACGGTCAACCTTTGGATGGTTCGGAACAATTCCTTGTGGTCACAGCCTGACATTTTGTCACGATGATAGTTTCTCTTTGCTTCCTTTAGGGCAGAATGATAGTCTGATGAAGCATTTTTGAGCAGCTGCTTATTTATTGTTGTTACACTGCTCCTCCATCTCCTCTCTTTCGCCCGGATATTACGTTTGAGCTTTCTTAGTGACTCGTCATACCATGGTGCATGTGGTCGTAGTTGAATACTCCGCTGTGATACTGGGGCATGCTTATCAAGAGTTGTGGACAGTGTTGCATTATAGAATTCAACCTTTTCATCCACATCAATATATGCAATATTAGTTGCTCTCTCAAAGCACGACGTAATGTCTGTATAGACGTTCCATGTACCTCATCTTTTCTCCCTCTTTCCGTTTTCAGCTGCAGCGGATGTAAGTTGCGAGGATGCCCAGAGGATGCATAGAGGATACAGCGGACGTTTAACGGATGATAACGGACATAGAACGTTTGTTGCTCGTATTTGTCGCGGATTTACATCGTACACGGCGGAAGTTCATCCGTTCTAAAAGTTTTGTGCAGCTTAAAACTTTTTGCGCGGATGAAATCACAGTGGACGGATGCTCGATGGATAGAGCGTATGAAACACGTATGCAATGAGTACACAACGGATGCATAGCGTTTTCCAACGGATGGCAAGATTTTTTTACGTTTTACATCCTCTTTGCATCCGTAAGTGCAGTGGGACCGGGCCTTTACCAAAATGTCCGGTATTAAAGGAGTACTTTTCACGCACCAAAGTCCGGCTCGTAGTATACACAAAATCCCGTTTTACACACTGGACTTAGAGGGTGTGTTCAAAAGGAGGGAACATGCATATGCGTACCCTAAATAACACTGAGTGGGGGGGGGGGGGGGCAGGTGTACAATGCATGAAGGACGCAGATCGGATCGCCCCAAATAATTTTCGAAAATCGTTTAATTAATGCGCGTCGTACAGTAGGTTATCATAAAGTAAAATCACGACTTGATTTGATGGTGAGTAATAAAGAGAAGGCTGAGTTCTGGGAAGAGATGAAAAATAATTTGTGAGCGCTATCATTGGTATTATGCAAGTGTGGAATAACATCAGATTAAAAATGTTCCCTAAAAAGCATGGCTCTTCAAATGCCTTAATATTCTAAATATGGCATGTAACATCATGAAATTCGGGACGGATTCTTATGCCACATGTTCGTGTAGTCCCATATACATCGTTCTGTGTGTACAGTGCTTGTAACTTTACACATACTTGGCTAAATTTCGTACAATTTGATGATTCCAGGACCTTGCAGTACACACCAATACTTATATGCTAGATGATCAACCTTTTCTTATCAATTCCACAACGTTTCTTTCACAATGCAATCGCATGACTAGAACTCAACTCTATCTGTAGACCTGTACAGAGAAACTAAATCTTAGTGATTAATGCTCGTAAATATTCCTGCTACAGCAGCTATAATCTCGTCATCTTTCCCATTCTTTTAAGAAGGTAAACATCACAATCAATCAGTATTCTTCTTCTTTTAGTAATTAATGTTGGAAAAGGATCAGTAAAGTAGGCATAAATAGGCCTATTGGAAGAGCATTTCCATCATAATTATATGGCACTCTGAGATTTAAAAAATAAAATGAACAAGGTAATTTACATCCCAAAACTGCTTACTAGCGTATAGGTTCCCTTGATCCTCTATTCATATTAATGTCGATAATATTAATGAGTCGTAAATGGCCGTTCCGTGACAAATTTTGAAATTCTTGGTTGTCTATCATGTTATAATCTTTTTTTTAAAACAAACTAAGTTGAGAAATGATGGAAGTTTCATGATCTTTGTTTGTACGCTCTCAAAATAAAAAAAATTAAGGCAATAATGATAGAGATAATGATAATGGTAATAAAAATGCCCCCTAGTCGCTTGTGAATCCCATTGTTTCATACGTTTTGCCTCGATCAAATAATTATTTTTAAAAGACTAATCATATTGTCCCAATGTCGCTAAATTGTATGATAAGATAATTTTTGAAGGGCATTTTCAAACAATTTATCTCCTATCTCACGTCCTTCTTTCTTCTCCTTTATCTCTCCCTTCATTTTCACTTTTATTTTGCCATTCCATTTGGGAAATCTACAGATGCACACCACTATCTACATGCGAGCCTCATTGATTATAACTAGAACCATAAGGCCCCAATTTTGTCCCTTGAGGAATTACAGTGAGCTCATCCTCCAATTAAGAATAGCTCCCTCTATTTACAAAGGCTTGGTTCTGAGATGACGTGTTAAATGATAAATCCATACAATAAATAATTGTACTCAATGCGATATGTACTTGAGGAGCATAGCATCACTAAAAGTTTGAAATCTTACTTGTAAAATGACATCTTCTGTTAAGTTCTGCTCCGATGCAAATCCAACGATGCTTCTCAATTTGTCGGTGACCGATTCCAGGAGCTCCTCATCAAATGTCGTCGATTTCTCTGTTACATTCACTAATTCATCAGATATAACTTCTATATTGGCCATCGTGATATTTGTCTAAATAAGCAATTATTGAAAAAGAAAATGAAACACAACTAACCCTCAAAACTTTAATTGCGTATCAAAGCTGTACAAATATATACATATATTCAAAATTGAAAGAAAAAAGTAAATGAAACTACAAAACTACAAAATAACAAATAAAGGTCATTTGCCAAACAATTTTGGTAGAAAATGTATACTGGCTGAGTAATAAGCATAGAAAGATAAGGAAATCAAGGAGTACTAGCCCCGACATCATTTGTGTAGTCCCATACATATCTCTCTGTGTACAGTGCTTGTTACTTTATAAAGACTGGGCCAAATTCATTATGATTTTGATGACTCCAGAACCATGCAGTATACACCAATACTTACATGATACATGATCAACTTTTTCTGATCCATTCATCACCCTTTCTTTCACAATGCAATCGCAGGACCTGGGGTGATTCACTAACAGCTAAAATCGATCCGAAATGAGATTAAAATCGCTCTTAGGCTCCTGAGAGCGATATCGCTTTTAGGAACTGATTCACTAAGGCATTTGGGATTAATGCTAGCAGTGAAATCGCTAAAGGCTGAGAGTGATCCGGATTGCTCTTAGCATTGCCTTTTGTGTGTAATCATTACTAGGACACTTTCTGGCCAAGACAGAACTGTCAAACTGAAGCTAAATTAGAGCAAACACAAGGAAGATAGATTGATTTGACTGATTTGATTTACTCTATGATAGGATAGGCCTAATTTAATTAGTGCCAACAACATGCAAAACACCTTAGACTTGGATTTTACATCAAGACTGTACGATGATCATCCCTACAGCCTTGGCCCAACCCACACTAGAGCCGGCTACATATAACGTTAAATCCTGCATTTAACTTGAAACAAGAGTAAAGAAAGACAAACTATACCCACAGAAAATCATATTCATCCTCACACTGCTATAAATCTACATGAAAAAGTCATGAATGAATTTCTTTCTGTCTTGTGCGAAATTTCAATCAATTTTCTTGTAATATTGGAAAAAAATCAACATAGAAATGAACGTCATTGACAAATTAAGCGACGATTATCTTAATGTCGATCGGTCGCTCGATTGATTGATGCCAAGTGACCAACATTTGAGTCTGTTGATTGGGTGGATTGATCGCGTACATGAATATTCATATGCGTGCATGATTATTCACGCTGGGATTGATCCCAGCCTAAAAGCGATTTAGTGAACAGTCAGGTAGAATCGCTTTTAAGCTGGGATTGAAATAAATCCCAAACATTGCTCTCATGAACGATATTGTTCCCAGTTAGTGAATCACCCCCCCCCCCCCTCCCAGAACTCACCTTTATCTTTAAGAAAATTTCACGTGTATTCGGGATTATTATCAGGATGACTTAGCACATGTATTTGCTTTGATGGTCTTATATTAAGATATCGTACATTTTCCGAAATATTCTTCTATCAATGTATAACACAGGAGGGGATGGGAAATCGAGGAGAGTCTTTACTAGGTTTCCTGCCATTCCGGATTCATTATGCTTCATACACTGAAATCATATTATTGAGAGTGATATATCTATTATGAATATATATATATATATATATATATATATAAAGAGAGAGACAGACAGACAGACAGAGACAGAGAAGGAGAGATAGAGGGAGAGAGAGAGAGAGAGAGAAAGAGAGAGCATTATAGGTGAGAGCAAAAGGAAAAGCAATTGATATGAAAGAGTTATTAATGTTTAAGGATGACTTACATTCACTATCTTATTAACTTCTTCTTCGATTGGTGAGTGAGTTGTAACTGTGAAAAGAAAATCAAGCACAATTAAAAAAGAATTGATGTAGAGTATTATCACTATAGGAGACAATTATTCGGTTTCCGTTGTACATGGGAGCACTAAAACTAGAGGCTATCATGGAGCACAGGCTAACGAGAGATGATTCAAGAGATGATTTCAAATTTATTACATTATATAATTTTCTCCTAAAAAATAAGCAAAAAGCAAAAGGATGGAAAAGAAAAATTACTTTAAATAGCCATTTTTGACATGTTATTGTACATATGTATATATATAAATAATTCATAAAATAGTGTGTGGCAAAAATAGTCAACTGTGACTGATTGCAAAAACAAATCCAATCAAGAAAGAAGAAAGAAGAATGCCTTATGTAATCAGACATGTGCATGGTTACCTCTGAACTAAAGTGGGAATAATGCAACTATCATTAGTCCTGATGACTAATCTCGTGATGACTCTCAGTTATTGCAGCTGAACAGCTGAAATGTCCATGTTCAACTATGCGTTTCGGTGTATATCGTTTCAAATATAATTCAAGATGCCGTTCCTATGGTAAATAACCATTCTCCGATGATGCGATGATTATCAATAATATAATTGACCTAGAGTTACGTGTGGGTTACAATAAGGAACCCGTATGTATCATGCGAAAGGAAATGAGAGTATGATGGTTGCGTAGCTAAATCAAGGTTCATACTACTGCTGTTCTCCATTTTGAAATCATTATACAGTGCGTCCCAGAAAAAACAAAACCGAGAATGATCGATGTCTAAAGTGATGCTTGCATTTCCCTTAAAATTGATTAAGCGCATTCATTTTCACTGGCTGCCTGCCGTTGCAACAAACAGAGTTGACAAAAGTCTTTCGTCTTTTTTGTGCATGGCTGATCGTCAACGAAACGGAGTTCAGTCTTTTGTCAACTATGCTTCTTGCTACGGCAGGCAGACAGTGAAAACGAATTCGTTTAGTCGAATTATTCAAATGCAAGCATCACTTTAAACAAACAGAACTGTTTTATTCCTGGCTCGTCTTTCCTGATTGAGGTGTCATATGAAAGGGCAGAATATAAACTTTCTAGAAATGTGATTTTCTCTTTGAAATTCAGATACCGCCCGCCAAATGACTTTTTGGTACCCTCTCTTCAAATTGTTTTTAATGACTTATATATGCATCATATGAGTTGCATCAAATGAAAAAGGAGCATTTAAGCTTTACGAATATGTGTCATTTATTAATTATAATTGTGATTAGTTATGATAAAACATCGATAATTCTCTGTTTCGTTTTTTCTGGGACGCACTGTATATGAAAGAAAGCCAGTTTTTATTTCATAAGCCACATCGACAGTGGTACAATAGATTACATGACAAACATATATCCCGATAAAGCATGTAGGGCCTAGGACAAAACATATATCAAAACTTGATTAAAGTGAGGTTCCTTAAATCCATATCTTTTTAGTTTTAGGGACACAGTGGACAAAAGCATTAGACTTTCTACAGGTACTTTCAAAACCCGAGCTTTAAGATGATGACGTGGATCCTACTCAAATGATTGGTTGAAAGCGTACACGTGACCAGGCATTTATTTTGCCTTACGCGTAATTTGGATAATGACCGGTCATTATCCAATTCTAATGACCGGTCATTAGTAAAATCATGTTATACAACATAATTTTATAAAACAAATAAAATATAATCTCATAAAACAAATAAAACACAGTATTTTGTTCGGGCATTAGTAAAATTACCTACATTCGGTACGTGTTATACTGTTCCAAAGGTAACTGTGTTAGGGCACTGCTGTGTATTATTTGTATATTATGCAAATGTTATGTAGTCTAGTGGTATTACATTTGCATTCAAATGTTAACTCTTAAAAATGTAGATAGTTATATCGTTATCCACAGAACTCACAAAATCAAACTTCATAGTCTTCATAGTTGATTATGTAAACGTATGCACATTGGTATGAATTTAGCTATCACTAGGGCTTACAAAAATAATAAATTGCAAATAATGATAATACATAAGATTTGTATTGCGCCAAATCCACTTGACAGTCAAATGCTCAAGGCGCAGCTTGTGCAAAGATGAAATACATGATAAATATATACAAAAGTGCATTAGGAAAGGTACAGACATGGAAGGTAATGGTATTACAAAAAATAATTATAAGCTAAATTAAGCAATTATTTCTTAAGATTGTTTTTTAACACTTCACCAGAACTGCTATTTGTAATCCATTGAGGGAGAGTATTCCATAATGAAGGCCAAGCATGAGCAAAGGTTTGCTCCCCCACTTTGCAATCGTATTCATGATTGAAGTAACGAGTAATATACCATTCTTGTAATGAAATCAAATGTAATACATACATTTGCGTCTCTATGAAGTGTCTCAATACAAATATTTTATTCACCAGTAATGGATAATTGTATTTAATAGTCAGAATGCAATATGCATTTATTACGTGTTATTAGGTATGATAAGCCATAACATTTATCCTACACAGCAACAAATAATGTATGCGGTTCGCATTCTGCCTATTGAAATACAATAATTCGTAACAGATGAATGAAATAATTTGCATCAAGGCAGTTCACAAAGACGACTACATTAGATTTGGTTACATAATAAAAATGGTATTTTTGCGCACGATGGCACTAAATACAATCATATGTGTTTAACAAACGCACTAATGCTCTCGTCAACGTACTTTAAAAGATGGTAGTTGCTGCTACTTTGTTTGGCGTTCAACAAAAAGGGATAGAGCAACGTCGATCTGGCGCTGCTCAGCGGCTGCCGGGCTCACGATCAATTGGGCAAAAAGAATTTTCATTTCATTGGACTAAAAGATTATTATCATTATTATTATTATTATTATTATTATTATTATTATTATTATTATCATCATCAAAGCTGATTGTATTGGAACCGTCATGTGAACCTTTTCGACAACGTATGATGGGAGTTAGCCTGATCGAATGTTGACTCGCCATTCGTCCCTTTCTACGAAGGTATGTTGTACCAAGGCGCACATAATTACATTCTGTAGTTGGCATCTCCCTTGTGTGGTACCAGCTTGCTAGGTTCTGAGTAAAGCTTTATGAATAGCAATTGTTGGCAACATAATAGATGGCATCTCGACATAAAAGACTGCTAGTGCTATGTAAAATCAACTTTTAAACCATGTACTTACTTAAACCGCGCTTTCTCTATTAGAGAGCACACAATGTCTAGTTCCAAACTTAAACTGTGGTGAGTTGCCTACTCCATAGTTTGTACGTAGGGATTTTAGTGGGGTACTATAATTTTGGTTTTATGCAAATAGCCCTGACATTTTACAAGCTATTTACAAGTAATCTTTCGTTCAACGCTTACCTAAAGAGCTGATAGTTGTATATACCGGAGATAGAGTAGATGAGATCCCTTGAGTAGTGTCTTCCTGTGATGTTTGGCCTTGAGTACAATCCAAAGAAGTAAATGAATCATATTGACAATCGACTAAATAAACGAATTCGTAAAGTAAAGCACGTGATTACAACCCGGCCCCCCACTCAGTGTTATTTAGGGTACGCATATGCGTGTTCCAACCGACCCCCCCTTTTCAGCAAAAGTCCGGTGTGTAAAGTCAATACGGCTCGACCTTTTTCTTTTGTATACGAGCCTTTTTCAGCATCCCCCCCTTTTCAGCAAAAGTCCGGTGTGTAAAGTCAATACGGCTCGACCTTTTTCTTTTGTTACGAAAAGGACATTTTGGCAACACGCATGCGGTCATTTTGAAACCTGAGTGGGGGGGCCGGGGATTACAAATGGTAGTTGGAAAGGCTCGATTCTGTTAAACAGTAAAGATGGTATTTATCAAATATTATTTGAGTTCGAACACGCAAAATAAAAAAAGTGTTCCCATGCTATTGGTTAAATAAATTATACGTTTGAAAGAATATTAATTAAGTAGTAAACAAAACAATTATAATTTGAAAGAAGTAGCTACAAAAGATTTTGTTGATATATCTAGTTTCAAGACTAAACATTATTATTTATCCCTCCTGAAACAAAAACTTCAAAAACCAAATAGTACACGTTACTGGGAGTATTACTTGAATTTACCTTTATCTTGTAATTGGCAGAAAGTATCCAATTTTAGATTTCAACAATTAGGAAATAATAGGATAAAGCAAGTTAATTTTAAAGTATTGCATAATATATTTCCATCAAAACATAATTCATGCAGATGGTGTATAATGGAAAATGACTAGTGTGATATATGTAAAGAAACAGAAACTACTTCTCATGTTTTGTTAAAATGTAACAAGGTTAGGGTTTTTTGGAAAATTATTGAAATTGTTATTATAATTACTTTCATGAACAAATAAATATTAATGAAAGAGCATTAGTTATAGGTTATGTTATTGAAAAGGATGAAAACTTTGTGATAAACTTCATGTTAATTTTAGGAGAATACATAATAAACATAATGCATATCCAACTTCGGTATGATAGTAAAGAGTACAATAGTGAAAGTCTGTTCATTAATTTCAAATTAAAACTGCGATATTATATAGCAAATAAACAAAGTTTTTTATTGACGATACACAAAGAAATTTTTCGAGAACTGTTAAGGCTATAACTATTTATTTAATTACTTTTGTCTTTTTGTATTATGTTAATATGTAAATTGATGTCAATATATATGAAATGTGAAATATGTGAAATAAAACACCTCGGTAAGAGGCCAAGAAAAAAAAATCATCAAAGCTGATGGTATTGGAACCGTCATGGGAAACTTTTCGACAACGTATGATGCAAATTAGCCTGATAGAATGTTGTCTCGCCATTCGTCCCTTTCTACGAAGGTATGCTGTACCCAAGAGTACAGAGTTTCATTCACTAGTTGGCATCTCCCTTGTGTGGTACCAGCTTGCTAGGTTCTGAGTAAAGCTTCATGAATAGCAATTGTTGGCAACATAATAGACGGCAACCCGACTAGACTGCCAGTGCTATGTCAAATTAACTTTTAAACCATGTACTTACTTAAACCGCGCTTTCTCCATTGGAGAGCACACAATGTCTATTTCCCAACTTCAACTGTGGGTGAGTTGCCTACTCAATAGTTGGTGCTTAGGGATTTTAGTGGGCTACTATAATTTTGGTTTTATGCAAATAGCCCTGACATTTTACTAGCTATTTACAAGTAATCTTTTGTTTAACGCTTACCTAAAGAGCTGATAGTTGTAGAAACCGGAGATAGAGTAGATGAGATCCCTTGAGTAGTGTCTTCCTGTGATGTTTGGCCTTGAGTACAACCCAAGGAGGTAAATGAATCATATTGACAATCGACTAAATAAACGAATTCGTAAAGTAAAGCACGTGATTACAAATGGTAGTTGGAAACCTCGATTCTGTTAAACAGTAAAGATGGTATTCATCAAATATTATTTGAGTTCGAACACGCAAAATTGAAGAAATGTTCCCATGCTATTGGTTAAATAAATTATACGTTTGAAAGAATATCAATTAAGTATTTAACAAAACTGTAAGATACTAATCTCTGTTTTGTAAGGACATTTTTTATTTCAGTTGACGATCGGAGTATGACGTCAGAAGCGATGGTTTTTTGGTTGAATTTTTGGTCTGCCGAGTGGGGGCGTAACAATTTAGCTGCAAATGATTCTCAATTTTGGGAAAAGTCATCCTTCTGATTGCGATCAATATTTAGTATTTCCAGACAAGCCCAATGTTGTGAGTATAATTTGAACATATGATGTTGATAATTGATAACTAGCCGTCAGTTTGAGTTGGGTGTTGGTTTTATACAGTTCATAGTTTTCAGATAATTTGATGTATAAAATTTGTTATGAAAGTGATTTGTACGCACAGTAACTTTGTATGCATTACATGTGCAGTTACATAATACGGTTAAATAGTACGATACATGTGTGTAGTGTTATGGGGATAGTCTTTTGTACAGACCGTGTTGTGTTATTTTAATATCATTTATATATAGGCAGTTGTATAAAGTGACAGAATGTAGATAAATTCTGGTAACTGTAGACATGTATATAAAGAGGAATTTAGGGTAATATGTGTAGAGCCAAAAGGGTTATTGTTATTTCATTTTGGAACAGTGTAATATGTAACTTCAGTAAACATGCATTAATCATACAACTAATTTGATGCAAGATTGTTTGTAAACAGTTTAAAATTGACATATTATTTATAATTGTTTAATTCTGATTAAATTTCAGGTTGAACCGCCTTTTGTGAACGGTATCGCATCATGCTTGAAATTGTCGCTATTTATTGAAGTGCAGTCAGTCCGATTGGCAAGTTATACGCTACAAAAACAATTATAATTTGAAAGAAGTAGCTACAAAAGATTTTGTTGATATATCTATTTTCAAGACAAAACATTATTATTTACCCCTCCTGAAACAAAAACTTCAAAAACCAAATATTACACGTTACTGGGAATATTACTTGAATTAACCCTTTTCTTTTAATTGGCAGAAAGTATTCAATTTTAAATTTCAACAAATAGGAAATAATAGGATAAAGCAAGTTAATTTTAAAGTATTGCATAATACATTTCCATCAAAACATAAATTATGCAGATGGCGTATAATGGAAAATGACTAGTGTGATACATGTAAAGAAACAGAAACTACTTCTCATGTCTTGTTAAAATGTAACAAGGTTAGGGTTTTTTGGAAAATTATTGTAAACTTATGTAATAATTACTTTCATGAACAAATAAATATTAATGAAAAAGCATTAGTTATAGGTAATGTTATTGAAGAGAAGGAAAACTTTGTGATAAACTTCAGGTTTATTTTAGGGGAATACATAAATATACATAATATTATCCAACTTCGGTGTGATGGTAAAGAGTACAATAGTAAAAGTCTGTTCATTAATTTCAAATTAAACTACGATATTATATAGCAAATAAATATAAAAAAATATTGATGAAACACAAAGAATTTTTTCGAGAACTGTTAAGGCTATAACTATTTATTTAATTACCTCTGTCTTTTTGTTTCATGTTCACATGTAAATTGATGTCAGTATATATGACATGTGTAATATGTGAAATAAAACACCTCGGTAAGAGGCCAAGAAAAACAAATCATCAAAGCTGATGGTATTGGAACCGTCATGTAAACCTTTCGACAACCAATAATGGAAACTAGCCCGATAGAATGTTGTCTCGCCATTCGTCCCTTTATATGAAGGTATGCTGTACCCAAGAGTACAGAATTGCATTCTCTAGTTGGCATCTCTCTTGTGTGGCACCAGCTTGCTAGGTTCTGAGTAAAGCTTTCCAAATGCTTAGGAATTTTGATAGATGAAGAATTGAAATGGTCTAAACAAATCGAAAACGTAAGTAAACTTACCCAGAAAAACATTAGCATGATAAAGAGAGCAAATAGTTTTTTGCCTCAAAAATCCTTAAAGTTACTTTATAACAGTCTAGTGTTGCCACGATTAGATTACTGCTCTGTTGTATGGTCGAACCGATTTCATTCTCATACAACTAAGCTGCAAAAAATTCAAAAGAGGGCCGCAAGAATAATATTGAACAAGACATATGACACACCGTCGGCTGATTTGTTCACAAGTCTTAAATGGATGACACTAGACAAGCGGTTTGAGTTAAGTCGCGTTATGATGATATATAAATGCGTTCATAACTTAGCACCTTCTTACCTTCAGGTAGGCTTAATCAATCTTAATGATGTACATGAGCATCATACAAGGCAAATAGACAGTGGATGTTTGCGTGTGCCTACATTTCACACTGATTGTTATAAGTGTAGCCCAATTGTTTCTTCCATATTTGAATGGAATAAGCTAGATAATTCATTGAGAACGGCTTCCTCTGTCAATTCATTTAAAAGATTGTTTAAACAAAGTTGTAATTTGTGAATGGCTCAGCCGTATATACACTACGTGCATGTTCTGTAATATTTACATGACTTATTCACATAATTGCGACTTAATTAATATTTTCCTATTGACATTACTGTTTACTAGGTTAATGATATATGTTTATTTTGCAAACGAGTATTATTTTTGTAACTGTTCTGTATAAATGTTATAAACGATGTAAATATGTTCATTCAGGGCCCCATGTAAGACCACTACTTGTTGGTGAATGGGCTACCCTGTCAAAAGATTAGAAATAAATAAATAAATAAATAAATAGCAATTGTTGCCAACATAGTAGATGGCATCTCGATATAAAAGACTGCCAGTGCTATGTAATATGAACTTTTAAACCATGTACTTACTTAACCCGCGCTTTCTCCATTAGAGAGCACACAATGTCTAGTTCCCAACTACAACTGTGGTGAGTTGCCTACTCCATAGTTTGTACGTAGGGATTTTAGTGGGGTACTATAATTTTGGTTTTATGCAAATAGCCCTGACATTTTACAAGCTATTTACAAGTAATCTTTCGTTCAACGCTTACCTAAAGAGCTGATAGTTGTATATACCGGAGATAGAGTAGATGAGATCCCTTGAGTAGTGTCTTCCTGTGATGTTTGGCCTTGAGTACAATCCAAAGAGGTAAATGAATCATATTGACAATCGACTAAATAAACGAATTCGTAAAGTAAAGCACGTGATTACAAATGGTAGTTGGAAAGGCTCGATTCTGTTAAACAGTAAAGATGGTATTTATCAAATATTATTTGAGTTCGAACACGCAAAATAAAAAAAGTGTTCCCATGCTATTGGTTAAATAAATTATACGTTTGAAAGAATATTAATTAAGTAGTAAACAAAACAATTATAATTTGAAAGAAGTAGCTACAAAAGATTTTGTTGATATATCTAGTTTCAAGACTAAACATTATTATTTATCCCTCCTGAAACAAAAACTTCAAAAACCAAATAGTACACGTTACTGGGAATATTACTTGAATTTACCTTTATCTTGTAATTGGCAGAAAGTATCCAATTTTAGATTTCAACAATTAGGAAATAATAGGATAAAGCAAGTTAATTTTAAAGTATTGCATAATATATTTCCATCAAAACATAATTCATGCAGATGGTGTATAATGGAAAATGACTAGTGTGATATATGTAAAGAAACAAAAACTACTTCTCATGTCTTGTTAAAATGTAACAAGGTTAGGGTTTTTTCAAAAATTATTGAAAACTTATATTATAGTTACTTTCCTGTACAAATAAATATCAATGAAAAAGCATGAGTTATAGGTTATGTTACTGAAAAGAAGGAAAAATTTGTGATAAACTTCATGTTAATTGTAGGAGAATACATAATAAACATAATGCATATCCAACTTCGGTGTGATGGTAAAGAGTACAATAGTAAAAGTCTGTTCATTAATTTCAAATTAGAACTCCGATATTATATAGCAAATAAACAAAGTTATTTATTGACGAAACACAAAGAAATTTTTCGAGAACTGTTAAGGCTATAACTATTTATTTAATTACTTTTGCCTTTTTGTATTATGTTAATATGTAAATTGATGTCAATATATATGAAATGTGAAATATGTGAAATAAAACACCTCGGTAAGAGGCCAAGAAAAAAAATCATCAAAGCTATTGGAACTGTCATGTGAACTGGTATGGGAACCGTCATGTGAAACTTTTCGACAACGTATGATGGAAATTAGCCTGATAGAATGTTGTCTCGCCATTCGTCCCTTTCTACGAAGGTATGCTGTACCCAGGCGCACAGAATTTCATTCTCTAGTTGGCATCTCACTCGTGTGGTACCAGCTTGCTAGGTTCTGAGTAAAGCTTTATGAATAGCAATTGTTGGCAATATAATAGATGGCATCTCGACATAAAAGACTGTCAGTACTATGTAATATGAACTTTTAAACCATGTACTTACTTAACCCGCGCTTTCTCCATTAGAGAGCACATAATGTCTAGTTCAAAACTAAAACTGTGGTGAGTTGCCTACTCCATAGTTGGTACGTAGGGATTTTAGTGGGCTACTATAATTTTGGTTTTATGCAAATAGCCCTGACATTTTACAAGCTATTAACAAGTGATTTTGTTTTGAACGCTTACCTAAAGAGCTGATAGTTGTAGATATCGGAGATAGAGTAGATGAGATCCCTTGAGTAGTGTCTTTCTGTGTTGTTGGGCCTTCAGTACAACCCAAGGAAGCAAATGAATCATAATCTTGGCAATCTATGTCAACTATGAAAACGAGAGGGAGAGATTAAAATAGGAATGAAAAGTTTTCTTTTAAACATTAACAATCTGAGCAGAGAGATAGTAGAATGCCGAAAATTAATAAATATTTTTAAAAGAAGTTCCACAGTTATAAATGCATGCATATCACACCATTATGTTGGTAGCTTGGCTAGGTGTAAAAATGTCAGAGGTAAAATTGTCAGAGGAAAAAATGTCAGAGGTAAAAATGTCAGAGGTAAAAATGTCAGAGGTAAAATTGTCAGAGGTAAGAATGTCAGAGGAGCCATGAAAATTACCCATTTACCGGACATTTTGGGAACACGCAAGGTATCCCTCCGTTCATGGAGTGGGGGGGGGTTCACTTTATTCTAAATCCAAGGACTTAGGGGGTTCGAATCCAAGCCCGGCAATACAGTCACTGTTAGGGTCTCAGTCTATAATGCGATATTCCGATGGCCGGGTTAATAATAATATCTGTAATGCGCTTAGAGGCGAGTTGACGTCGATGTATTAAGCGCTATATAAACCTCAAATGTTGATATTATAATTAGAATGAATAGGCACTATGAACATGACGGACAAAGAAAGAGGACAAAATATACAGTTCCTCATTCTACCCTCAACAATTGCTGTGGTAGATAAAGGAACATCCATTCACTGCTATTATGTAAAAATGTGTAGAACAGGTGTCACATGCATATTCACTTGTGCTACTTATTTTACATAATAGCAGTGAAGGGAGGTTCCTTTGTCTACCACAGCAATTGTTGAGGGTAGAATGAGGAACTGTATATTTTGTCCTCTTTCTTTGATCGTCATATTCATAGTGAGGACGGTTCACGGTTAGCCAGTGGGCTCGTGTGACGTCACGGGTCAAAGGTCACATGAGATGTACATAGTACCAATAGTACCAATTTAATGCTGCTGCTGCCTGATAGCACAACTACAACACTGACGACCTCACACTTGGAGGGTCCCTAAATCTTCAACCGAGTATTCGGTTTGCTCAGTTGAAATGAGCATCACGTTGTTAGTAACTCACCACCAATACTAAATTTAAAAAACCGAACAAATATCAATCAATAAATATTTCTGCTAGATTTTCGAACTTTAATACAGTAAATCGCATCTGACTGCAAGGTTAGAATAGAGAGATCTTTTTGTCACGAACTACATGTAATATAACACCGAGGCTGAGCCTTGACAGGCGATGGAGTCGGTAAAAAAAGAGAGTCCACTGTTTTCCTAGACCTGTGGGCCCGAATTCACAAAGGAGGTTATTCGACAAACCTCATTGTGTATGTGCGTCATATGACGCGTTTTGACGCGTTTCAGACCAAGGTTTGTCTGAACCTTGGTCTGAAACGCATCGAAACCTAGGTTTGTCGACAAACCTCCTTTGTGAATTTGGGCCTTGATGTTCTTAATATTATTTCCCATTTCATGAAGTCAGAAAATAAATGTACTAGGTGAAAAGTAGAAAGTTCATGGGAAAAAAATATAAGCAAAGAAAGATAATGGCCCGAATTCACAAAGGAGGTTTGTCGACAAACCTTGGTTTTCGTACGTCATATGACGAGTTTTACGCGTTTTTTTACAAACCTGGTTTGTAAAGAACAAAAGGAGGTTTGAGCTCAAACCTTGCTTTGTGAATTCAGGCTATTACGTTTCACTTTACTCCGTGTGCACAACGCGGAGAAATGCGCAGCGGTTGTAACCAATACGAGATATTATGTCTCATTTGAACTTGGGCACGTGACGTCATACGAGCTCGCTAGCTATCCATGGACTGGCTTTATATAGGACCGTAATGTTGTATTTCCCATAGTGATTGACTTGTATCTAAATATGCACGTGCTTGTCATTTATGGAAAAGCAAGGCTACCGATGGTCTGTATCTGTTTGGAACCACACCATGCAGCCATCTGAAAGAGGTTTGCACAAAATAATGTTTATAAACTGCTGTCCGTCGCACGAGGAAAATGTACTTGCTGAGCAGGGGTATCGATTACTTTTCACTATCTCATTTGTTAAATATTGACCAAAATAATGAAAGGGCAAAAAGGGCAGCCGAGGATTGCTTACATATCGAAAATAATCTAAACGTAATATTGAATTAATGAAGCAAGACTTATTAATTGAGGGGTGGGAGGATGTATACAATGAAGCTGACGTGGACATATCATATAATCTCTTGAATAATAAATTACAACATTATTATGAAAAAAATATTCCCATATGTAAAGTAAAAAATAATAGAAAAACCCCCAAACATCCTTGGATAACAAAGGGTTTATTGAAATCAATACAGACACGTAATCGCCTTTACAAATCACATTTACACAATCCTAATGAAGCCAATTTAAAAACATACAAGTTATATCGCAACAAGTTGACAAAATTAATTCGTTTATCACGTAAAATGTATTATGCTAATAGAATAAAGAATGTCAGTTCAAAATAAATGCAACATGGAAAATCATCAAAGAGGTAATGGGAACTAAGGCAAATCCCCCACCTACTGATGATATGACTTTAAATGGTTCTAAAGTTGACTCTTCCCTTCATGCAATCTCATTTAATTCATTTTTTACAAACATCGGACCCGAACTTGCAAGCAAGATTAATAGCCGAAATGCGCATTTCACGGATTATCTCCCCCAACCTAATCCACATTCTCTGTTCTTGAGCCCCACGAACCCCACCGAAATTATCAATATTACACGTTCTCTCAACAGCTCCAAATCTCACGGGCATGATAGAATTAGTGTGTCTCTTTTAAAAAAAAAATCCACCCACTTGCTAACCCTCTTAGTCACATTTTCAATAAATCATTATCACAAGGTGTTTTTCCGGACTTATTCAAAATCGCCAAAATCAATCCAATTTTCAAAAAAGACAATCCTCATGAAATTAGGAATTATCGCCCCATATCTCTACTCCCAAGTTTATCCAAATTTTTGAAAAAATAGTATATAATAGACTCTATGAATTTATCAACAAACACAATTTGCTATTTTCTAATCAATATGGCTTCAGAAAAAATTACTCAACAAACCTGGCTTTAATCCAAATTTATGATAACATTACAAACGCCATAGCTAACGAAGAACATGTCATTGGTATATTTTGTGACCTCAGTAAGGCATTCGATACACTTAATCACGATATTTTACTTTCAAAACTTAATTATTATGGTATACGAGGTCAATTACTCCTTTGGTTTAAAGATTATTTAAGAAATCGAAGACAATATGTCACATTTAATGGTTATGACTCTGATTCACTTTTAGTTCAATGTGGTGTCCCTCAAGGCTTAATTCTAGGCCCACTGTTATTTCTGCTATATGTCAATGACATTATTAATACATCCTCCATTTTATCTTTTGTATTATTCGCTGACGACACAAATATCTTTTTTTCTCATACAAATCTCACTTCCTTAAAAAACATATTAAATCATGAAATAAACAAAGTATCACAATGGTTTGAACACAAAAAAGACCCACTTCATCTATTTTAAACACCATTCTCATAATACTGATACTCCAATTCACTTACAGATTGACGGCATGCCATTAGAGCAGAAAACTCACCCTAGATTTTTGGGTGTTATCATGGATCAAACTTTATCTTGGAATGAACATCTGCACCATATCATAATAAGTATCTCAAAAAGTATTGGAATTATTTCCAAGTTAAGATTTATTTTACCTCATAAAACTTTATTTTTATTGTACAGTGCGTCCCAGAAAAAACGAAACCGAGAAGTATTGATGTTCTATCATAACTTAATCACAACCATAATTAGTGAATAATACATATTTGGAAAGCTTAGAGTCTCTTCTTTTAGTTGATGCTACTCAGATGATGCATATTTTACGCATGAGTGATTAAAAGCAATTTGAAGGAAGGAAACCAAAAAGACATTTGGCGGGCGGTATCTGAATTTCGAAGAAAAATTCACATTTCTAGAAAGTTGAGTTTCTGCCCTTTCATATGACACCTCAATCAGGAAAAATGAGCGAAGAATGACAAAGTTCTGTTTGTTTAAAGTAGTGCTTGCATTTCCATAATTGTATTAAACGAATTCGTTTTCACTGGCTGCCTGCCGTATCAATAAACGAAATTAACAAAAGACTTAACTCCGTTTCGTTGACAATCAGCCGTAGACGAGAGTCTTCATGCATGGCTGATTGTCAACGAAACGGAGTTAAGTCTTTTGTCAAATCTGCTTAATAATTACTAATTTAATATAACCAGAGATTCACGGACAGAACAATAAGACGATTAGCCGGTGTAAGTAACGTGATTATTACCATCAACCTTGGATGACCTGTGAAACCAGTCGATAAAGGTGCTTATGGGAGCCTTCCAAAGTTGCGACTGTGCCCCGACGCGTCGGGGCGCAGAGCAGGATATGAGAACAAAGGAGGCGCCTCTTTGCGCCCATTTGCGCCTTTTTGCGTCGGCTACGAGAGGACTCCAGTTGGTTTCCAGCTCATTAAAATCTGGCTATTGTTTGGAATCCCTTTGTTACGAGAAGACCAAATAATTACGTATTTATCGCCACCATCGGTTAACGGACAAAAAACTCGTTGCTTGGTCAAGTGGTTATTTGGTCATAAACACTTGATTTACAGAGGTAAGTGGAATCACGTTACTCCAGTCGCGTGATAAGCTGGTGGTTTTTAGGTTAGATAAAACGTGAACAGGAGTACCTTTTTTGTTTTAACGAAGGCACGTGTCGATAACGTTTAAATCTAGTTCAAAAGGCACTATACTTTAAAATCACTTAAAATACACTCCCAAAAGAGGTTACTTTTTAGTGTTCTGTTTATTGGGCTTTAGAATGTTTATTAATATTTAATGTGCTGTCAAATTACGAGCACACATAATATATATATTTATACTTTGTTATTTCTGAATAAGAAATCAAACATTTTAAACCACATTTCCCCTGGAAGGGTAGAGGAAGGCCTTTTTATCATAATAATTCGTTATTTCCCCGGCATCATGGCGGAATGAGGTAGCAAATGCTCTCTTAATTCATGTTACATGTGATTAGTGATTATGTTAAATTATACTTTATGCAATTAAAGGGACAATTGAGTTTTGGTATAGAGGGCTCTACACAAAATAATTTGTTCTGACAAAATGACAAAACGATCTTTGTTTGGTCAAAATTGGTTCACTGAGAGACGGCTGAAATATCCATAAATATAACCATTTCTAATTATTGTGGGGCCCCACAAATATTTGATACTTTGAACCAGCCGTTGAAAGACAAAAAATGCTTACACCTCTCAAACAGATGTTTTTTTAATAGTTGTTGATGATCCTTCTATTAAATCATTATTTTAACGAAACATAACATGCACAATTTTATTCCAAAAATGGTTGAAACCAATGACTTTTTAGAGAATGCCCTCATGTGGTTTAACGGCTCTTTGTAATTGTTAGCAGGCTTATTACTGAGTCGTTCGTAATTTTGGTTTACCTTTCGAGCATATAGCTCCGTTTAGTCTCATTTTGACAGCGCCCCCTATCGTCAGAGTTCAGCAGCAACATGTTAGCCGATGGACTTTTACCCAACAAAATCGTTAAAAAATCATTTGTTTTGTTTAAACGAAAAGCACTATCACCCCGACGTACGTTGACACTAGCTCTTTCATTGGAACCCTCATGCCCATTGACTTTTGAAAGTTCACCCACCGTAATTTGATCAAAATAGGTCGTCAGCTCGCCATTGCCTATATAACACAGATGCAAAAAGTCGAACTTTGGAAGCAATTTGCCTCGCAATTGTAAAGTTATAGGTCAAGCACACGAAGGATAACAAGCATGAATTATCATAAATCGGTTCTGATGGGTTCATTATGTCCAATTCAGCCAACCCCCTACCGTAATTTTTCCATTTAGTGTAGGCAAACATTTTGCCGAGGTAAGCAAAAACATGAATATTCATGAACGCCATGGACTATTCGATTATTTACAGAGGGGTGCAATTGTGCATCACATCAAACTCCCCTACTTTCAGTCAATTATTTAATTGTATTATGTAGTTTTGTAGGTTCATTTTACTAACTGTTTAATTATCAGATATCAATGATGGTTTAAAGATATGGAAAAGGTTGTATTTTATATTTAGCAAGGCAATCTCACATACAAAATCACTATCAAGTGTCGTCTGATCCGCCGATTGCCGTCTGCTTTATACGTTCAAGGCACATTTATCGGTGGACTGTGAAGTAGACAGTTTACTCGTCATTGTAGATTTATGATAAGCCATCTTTCATTTATTAGTCTTTAATTGGTGACACACATACAATTATCACATACATGAACACTCTCACTTCCCCTCCCTAACACACCATTTCCGCACACCCGGTTCACACATCATACCCAATGGCATATACACCCTGCAACAAAGTGGAACATTCTAGACGTCGAACTAGCTACGTTTGGGCTGGCATTAGTCCAGCGAGCGAAAATGAGACAAACGGAGCAATATGCATGTTGCAGTTATAACTATTACTAGTTTGTAATGTAATGGTGCAGGTTTTGGTTACTCACATTCAGTTTGACCAAAGGCGTACTCTCTTTACCAAACTGAACTATCCATTAAACTTTGTAATTGTGATTGAGTGATTGCCGAACAAATACAAATAATTATGATGATGATGATGATAATAATGATAATAATAACAACAATAATGCTAATAATAATAATAACAATAAAATAATATTTTGTCATATTATTATATATGAACTTTTGGATAATGTATCATACTTAATCAAAGAAAATTGTACTTTTTCTTTTCAAATATTTGTCAAATACGTCGACGGTATAATGGTAGCCACACATGAAAAGACGATGATTGTCTTTTAATCCAGGTTGTGTTCCACTGATCAACCAATTCTACATGCTTTTAGTCAACTTAACCAAACTTCAAATAACAATCATTTAAGTTACTCACCCGTTTGACAAAACGGAAGTAAAAATATCAGAACACAGGGCCACGAAATAAATCGTTCACGAACCATCTTCCTTTTCCACGTCCAGATAACCTCTGTACAGACTGACACTGATGATGTTGAAAATGAGAGAAATTTAATGACACAGCCACTGGTTTTGAGACAATGATTGGTGTCACAGTGGAATAAGTCAAGGTCGTACACACACGCACGCCCATATGAATATGAGGATTTAGTCACAACTATACGTACACGCACGCCCATATGAATATGAGGATTTAGTCACAACTATACGTACACGCACGCCCATATGATTATGAGGATTTAGTCACAACTATACGTACACGCATTTCCAAGTAAACGTATTTTTTATGAATAAGACAGCGATCAAGGAGGAAATCACCCTGATATCTTCCTTGTTATTAGTGTAGGCAAAGTTCACAACTTAAGGAGTTTGTCAGCAAAGATTAGAATTTTAGCCTCTCTCTTTGAAAACAATATTTGATTTACAAGATTAGTGTCCAAACCATTGCCGACTTTTGAAATAAATTTAAATAATTTGTTTTTCCGTACGTTAATCGTTTGTGTCAGTAATGGACACAAGAGTGTGTTTTTTAGGGGGGCGGGCGAAGGGGTTGAGTCCCCCCCCCCCCAAAAAAAAAAAAAAAAAAAAAAATAATAATAATAATAATAATAATAATAATAATAATAATAATAATTTTAAAAAAAATAATAATAAAAAATAAAAAATAAATAAAATAAAACAATAAAGTAAATAAATAAATAAACAAAATCGTGAAACATATTCAGAAAATGAATACGTAACTCGCTAGCGGCTAATGATTATTGTTTTCTTATAATATATATCTCATATCTTTCCCGATTCAAATTATATCATGTTTGAGGAGTTTGAGCTGATGAAAAGCTAAGCCCAGGGGTCCGTTTCATAAAACTTGTTATCTATAACAACTGCTAAATGTCTATGACAAATTTGTTCTCAGCCAATCAGATGCCATGATTTCAGTATCTTATAACAGTAGCTTGTAACTTGTTATTGATATCAAGTTTTATGAAACAGGGTCCAGGTATTCCAGGATGCCCATCGGAAGGAGGGAGATGAAAAAGACCTTTAGAGGGCTTCCTGTTTATACTAAGACTATTTTTTAATCCTAAAACATTGGGATACATCTTGTTATCGTTGTTATGATTGGTTCATATACACTGTTGCCCATAAAGTCGGAAAAATTTGTTTACCTCTTTTCGTGAAATATTTTGACAATAAGATTTATTATTGATAGTCTTGTCTACGCTGTTGTTCAGTGCCGTGGTTGGTGTCTTATCAGAATCAGTAAAGCAAGTTGTGTTATGGAATATGCTGTAAGCAGATGTCTTAGTATTTGAAGACCGAATTAATGTTGTAAATGGAGAGGGGTTTCACCAACGGGAAGAATGTATTTGAGTGCAAAGGCCTAGAAATCAATGTGGGAAAGGCGGATGCGATGGAAGCAAGTGGTGGCAACATCAACAAAAGAAAACAAAGTAGATCCTTATAGTGTCAGATGCACGGTGGGTTAATGTGAGATGTGTTGAAATAAAGGAAATTACCAACAGAGTGCCTGGGAGTTTTGAGAGCAAGAAATGCAAAGAGATGAGTAATGTACTGGTGGATGAGCAAGGGGGTTGTATATGGTATTATGGTGAGAAGGTTGAATGGTTTTGATATCTTTTGGATACAATCAACAGTGGTGGTGGATGTGAGATTGCAGTTACAAGTAGATACAGCTTCGGGTGGATGAAACTTAATGAGCTGGGCCTGACCATAGTTGGTAGAAGGTTTAAAGGCGAATTCTATAACACTGATGTTAGAACAGCTATGGTATATGTTTCAGAAACCAGGAAACAGAAAACAGTAGAAGGTATCTTGAGGAAAACGGAAAGAGCCATAAAAGGGAAAATGAGCGGTGTGAAACTATCAGATAGAAAGAACTCAAGTTTAATAGCTCATGGAAATGATGGGTCAGGAAGAAACTGTGATGGAATTGGTAAAGAGAAGTTGATTAAGATGGATGGGTCATGTGTTAACAAAGGAAGATGATAAACTGTAAAAACAGTTTTTGATCTGACAGTGAATGGCATAATAGGAAAAGAAAGACCAAATATTTCAAAGAAAGATATGGTGAAGAGATAAAGCAGTAGGGTTAAGCTGACCATGGATCTACATAGTCTAACCGAGGAGGATGCTTTAGGCAATAAGAAGTGGAGGGAGGGAGCTCATAATGGCGCAAAAGTCAGTAACCCCTCCTAAGAGGGAAATTACTTGTATCGGTGTTGATAATGATGATCTTGATGATGATGATGATGATGATGGTGATGAAAATAATGATGATGATTATGATGTTATAAGGTCAATAAGCTCCCATAACTTTATTGATCAATCTTTATTAATCAAATATTGTCACATCGTTAGTGATCAGTTATTGCCACAATCAGTTCACACAAAGAGATACATACGTTGACCAACTTTATAGGCAACAGTATAGGTTGAAAAAACCCACACAAGATAGATTTTCATGTCATGTCATGTCAATTGCACGATTTGTTTCTTTATACGATATTCTTATCAAGTCTGTACACTCCTTTTGCTACACGACAATTCTTTTAACGAATGTTATTTACATTTTCTGCAGTTTCTAACTGATCAGATCAGGATATCTAAAAATATGAAAGGCTTTACATTAATGATCAGAAAAAAATGCACTAACCCTGGTTCGTTACGGGTGTTTGTTTGTCTGTCTTCTTTGTATGTAGACAGAATGTTTAATTCTTTGAAATATCAATTGTTGGGTTTCTCTCTCCCCCATCACTCAATCTTAACTTCCTTTCGGTACACTGAGGATTTAAAGTTCACATGTGATATGAACGAGTTATTTCTTATATTAACTCGTGGCATAATGTAACAGCAGTATACCTGTTTTTTTTATCACCCACACCAAAGTCCAGTGCTAAAGTCTTAAAAGAACATCCTGTCACGTGCAAGTTGCAGGATATTCTTTTCAGACTTGTAGCAGTGGACTTTGATGTGTGTGTGATATCTAAACAGATTTCGTTAGCCAGTTATTTTAATGGATGGTTTCAAAACAGCATATCATATTCAGTGGAAATGCCAAAGATCATACAAACATCCGACATGTAAATGAATACATAAAAACGACCGCAACTGCTTACGGAAATTGAACCTAAATTCAAACTATTGAAATGTGCGAACATAACTGTAACGTATTACGTAATCTAAAGTAACCTCTACAGGATATACAATAGGGTATTGAAATTGCCCTTGATATCATTATTGGAAGGTAGTTGCGATATATACAGTGTGTGTCAGAAAAAGTTTACACCTAGAAAATTGCTAATTATTTTTAAAAATCATCTATGAACAGTAAATTATCTTATGAAAGAGTGTTTTATCCCAAATTATTTGGTATCATTCTTTTGTGGTATGTGTTCTCGTTTGGATGAACAGGAGGCATTTTTTTGTGAGAGTGCAAAAATCGACTTTCGCCAAAGTTGCTTATGTGATGTTTGAATAAAACAATTGGGATTTGGGTATTAATTCGGTCCTTGCTGATCCAAATAACATCCCTAACAAATGTAATCATGCCACACATATCAAATATCGAATATCAAATATCAACGAACATTTGTGCGCGCGTGTGTGTGTATGTGACTTAACTTCTGCAAAAAGCTTATGCAATGCATTTCATTTGATTCATTCAATTCAATTCAATTCATTCTCTCACTCCGCTACATAATACATGCTGTAGGCATGGACTCTCGCAAACAATGCCTCCTGTTCATCCAAACGTGAACACATACTACACAAAAATGATACCAAATGATTTGGGATAAAACACTCTTTCATAAGATGTATAATAATTCACTATTCAAAGATCATTAAAAAAAATATTAGCATTTTTTTAGGTGTAAACTTTTTTTGACTCACACGGTATATCTATATATATTTATATATATATAGGCTATGTATAGTTATGTATGTGTGTGGGGGTGTGTAATGAAGCCCGATGAAGTGATGGAGCTTGTTCAACTCTTCAAAAACTTGTACTAAAGATTGATTTTATGATATCCATTCTCAGAAGATCGATGAACGGTGCTTAACATGACCTCTAGATTTGTCCATATATTTTAAAATTCTATTTGATAAGGTCACTATGCTTCTATATATGAGATACTAGAGACGCTTAATGATGAAAATTAGATAAATATTAATTTCGCATCAATAATTTAAGTTGATATCAGAGCTTGCTACGAAATATTCAAGCACCACGTAAACGTATATTGTAAATTGATGCTATTCAAAGTGTTTTCCAAGTGACATTTACAAAAACGATAATAACTGTGAAGTATTCGTTTAACTTCTTTTGAAATGCATAGGATGATGACTGTGGGACACTATTCCAGGTTTAACCATGATTTCATTGCAAATGACTTTGTGATTTTTAAGAACATGCCAATTAAAACTTGATACATTTATTATGAGACACCCTGTATACATATTTTATATACATGTATAAATATACATGTGTGTGTGTTTGTATTCAAAATGCCGTCAGGTTATCATAGTGTAAATGATACTACCAGTACCTCTTAATCGAGTTCAACGTTTTCATTTGACCAGGATGTCCTGTTCGAAGACACCATTTGTCATTAGAAAAAGAGGAATGATAAAATGTGAGTTTGCTCAGGCTTCCGTGAATGTTTAAAGCAGGCGCGGATCCAGGATTTCTTAGGGGGGGGGGCGACCAAATTCTAAATTATGCGAGCAAAGTATTGGTACGTAATGGTGACCAGCATTGACGTAATGGGGGAGGGAGGGGGTGTAGGGAGGGGCGATTTCCCCTACCTCCTCCGCAAAGCGCCGAAGCTTTGACGTTTCATTATATCATTATAGTCAGGTGGCTTAGCGAAATTATAGTTACACTGCGGATAAAAGCGCCATTTTTAGTACAGCGCTTCCTTAGGACCTACTGAACGATATTAGCCTAGGAGCTCTCGGTAAAAATTGATTTAAAGGTGTTAAGGGCGGGTGCGTTAATATCCCGGAGCCCCTAAGTAACATATAAGGTAAAATAACATTGATTTGTTGTTGTACGAATGTGATTTTGGGTACAGGGCTTTTTAGGAGCTTCTGAATGATGTTAGGGTAGAAGACCCCAACAAAA